TTTTGACATTTAATTTAAGAGGTTTACGTTTATGGATGAATTTGACAGCGACAATGTTTCAAAATTAGGAAGGGAAGCAGTGATTATTTGATTATATAGACGCTTCGCCCCTGACTACCGGTACCCGAAATTTGAAAACTTACTTGAGCCTTCATCAGCAATTGAATTTTCTACATGAGAAATCAGTACTTTGCCATTAGTATTTACATCAGAGTTTATAGACTAACCGTAGCCTATATAATTGTTAAATCCAATATTTATATTTCAGAGCACGAAGAAGGTCTCCACCATACCTGGCCTCGGTCCATCAAGTATTGAGTGAGTAAAAAACTATACCAGGAGTTTCAACTGTACCTATTTAAAATCTTCACAAAACTCTGCTATATATTGGTGTTTTACGTCCCGTCGACACAGTTTAGATCATTTAGAGAATGGGCTTCGACCTAGCTTGTCAGGGCCCATGAGAGGGATACAATGTCCCTGGGAAAAGACCGGTATATTCGAACGACTCAAAGAGAAATTACATTCTCACCATAGGTAAGTTAAGTTCAGGTCTTATGCGTGTGACAGCAAAAGTCTAACTCCTTCACCACAGTTGTTGATCCACAAAGAATAGAGAGATATTACAACTGTTGAGTCTACACGATGGTTAAGAAAGATGTCCGCTTCAGTGAGACACTGGAACACCCCGAGGAGAACAACTGGCGTTTTTACTACGAGAGAGTCATGTCTGACTCGAAAGCTAGTGAGCATAGGTGTTCCCACTGTCCAGTGACAACTCTTTCAAACTTCAAATAACAAGGAATGCTGCATAAATGTAAAAATGGATTTGCGAGTAATCACGTTTTAAAAAAACCCACACCCATTGCTGATCTTTTTTACGACTGTGCTCTTTTATGCTTCATCAGGAAATGAAATGTCAATGATTACAACTTTTTACCTTGTAAATCTGTCTATTGTTTCAGAGATGGCAATCTCAGTGATATCGCTCGTACAGGCAGTCTGCATGAATTTCTGCTTGACCTACATAGCCGGTTTGGAGACATTGCTGGTTTCTGGTGGGGACAGACCTATGTTGTCAGCATTGCTTCACCTGAACTGTTCAAAGCCCATGCCAATGTATTTGACAGACCTGGTAAGTCTTTCATTTTCTGAGTTTAAATTGTCTATGACCTGACTGGTTTAACATTTCATTCAGGACATCAAATTGTATCGCAACTAATCTATTTTTACTACAGTTTTAGAAAAACAGTAGGCTGTTGTCAGATGTAAACACTCGTACAGGTGGATATAGAATACATCAAAATACTTTGACTTGTAATTATTTCTTACTTCTCAAATTGAGGACCGTCTAAGTGTAGAAGAAATGTATCAAATCCAATGACATCTAACCAGCAATACTTCAGTCACAATACTGTGAGTCAGAGGCCGTGTAATACGTGTATTGAATCAGAAGACACAAGAACACAGCTGCTATTGCTCGATTGGTTGCTTGGTTTCCTAATATCATAGAACATCTGAAGTATCCACATGAAACCATATTATGTTGTTGTTTGTTTGTTTTTTAAACTTTGTAATAATGACTGATTAAGACAAAGTACTTTTACAAATTTACTGAAGTGGTCCGCTATCCAGCAGCTCTTTGTAAATGTATCTGGAACAAACTTAAAGTAGCACATTCTCGTCGTATTTGATACCGTTTTTATGTTCATTCTCTGAGCTAGAAATTATGCTAGAGTTTTACAGCAAAACAGTTTATTATTTTTTCTGACTTAAGTTATTGTTATTACTAGTTTAAAAGCTGTATGTTGAACAATAACCAAACGTTTTGAAACGAATCGGGTATTTCTTCAAACAGAGGACCCTTTTAAAAGGCAATAGGTTTGTCATCTGAGAACCAATTGCAAGAAAACTTCAAATAATCAATATTATTTATCTAAGAAGACATTCGAGTTATTAATGCGACGAAAATCAATACATTCGTAGATGACATGGATCTCTCAGAGTCAAAATCTACAATAAAATCTGCGTTTAGAAACAAATGGAAAAGATCCCACCCTAAACACAACAGACGTGACTCCTACTACATGCTAAATAGAGCAGACCAGGTCACCATCTTTCCACTCCGTTGTGGCCACAACATACTCAAACACAATATGCGCACTAAATTAAAAGTGGGAGAGTCCGCGATCTGAGAATGAAGACACGACCAAGAGGATGCCAACCATATCCTTCAGCACTCCTCGCGCTACGCCACCCTTCATACCCAGACGTGGAAGAATGTGACTTCCCTTGAGAGAAAACTCTATGGCAGTCTCGTAGATTTGAAGCGGACTACACAGTTTGTGCATGACATTGAACTGATAGTCTAGCTGCTATTATCAAGAAAGAGGAAGAAGAAGAAGAAAAAACATATGCGTTAAAACACCCCCCCCCCAAAAAAAAAGAAAAAAAAAAAAAGAAAAAGAAAACGTTTTTAAAATTTCTACCAAATTTGAGTAAAATGGACAACTTTGCCACTTAAAATTGTTCCCTTACACAGGCAGAACCGGCCCCTTCTGGTTTCAGGACAAGGGCGGTAAAACCACTCTGTCACATCAGATGGACATTTCATCGTTCTGGGAAAGTTGTGAGAAAGTTTGGGGAGAAATGCTGAGGCGGCTTGGTTCCACAGTATGTGGTCACACCTCACACATAAAGAATGGTCCTTATATGATGGCATGAAACATTTGGGGAACACCTTATAACCATAAAGCTTAGAAATGGGTGGTCACGGCGTTCCCCCAACTTGAACCTCGCCGATTGTCTCTTTTGTGAGTCTTTTTTTATACTGCCAGATAATCTACTTAGACTACCCAGGAAATAAATATAACCGAGAAAATGAAACTTAATGTTGAACAGTCCATAAGTTGAAATTTAATGTTGCATAGTCCAGAAACAAGCCACTGACTGGGTTTTACAAAATGTTCAGTCGCATTATATTCGAGATTGTCTGCATAAAATTGGTCATCAAATATAATCTAGTTACCTACTACCTTCCTAGGGTTTATTTGGCAATGTCAGATTTATAAGAGAATTTTCCATTCATTGCACAAATACACATTATGGCTGATTGTTAAGAAGTTTTCATATTTCTAATGAAACCGTGGGTTGATTTTGTTGTTGTTCGTCATAGTGAATGCTGGTCCAAAGATGACAGAGTCATTTCCCTTTGAATGAGTCGTCTTTAATCATAGACACCTGGTAATTCCGAAATACAATTCAATAATAATGTTTCCGTTTCAGCGGAGCTGTTTAAGTCCTTTGAAGGGCTATTAGGAAGCAGTTCTTTGATGTACGCCAATGGCTCTGAAGGACGAAGGAGAAGAAAGACTTACGACAGGATGTTTTCTCACGAAAGTCTCAAAAAGTATTTATCGGAATTTCAAGAGGTAAAGCGATAGCGTGTGTTTGTTTGTTGTTGTTTTTTTCCTGAAGAAACTAAACAGATAAATGAATGGACTTTTTGCTCATGTTCAGTTTATTTCCAATTGCGCGTACTGTGGCGTCACTATTAATGGCTTTGTTTTGTTACTTACTTTGACTTTTTATCCTCTGTTGCCCTTAAGCGTCGAGGAGAGAGCAGTTTTCTAAGGTAGGCCAACTCTGCAGCTCTTTCAATATCCGGTTTTCCTTGACTTCCTCGATCCATCTTTTGCGTGGCCTACCTCTTTCTGTATAGCCTGGGTACCTGATGGTATAGGCTTCCGAGTCTGGCTGGCTATATGACAGTCATAACAGATGGCCAAACCATTTTATTATGTTTTTCTCTGAAATTCAGGCAGGAATTTGTGTCGATAGTTTTGCTCTTACATGTTCATTTCTCGTGTCTGTCTCTTCTTGTGGTGATAAGGGTTTTATGGTGACATTTATTTCGTCTCGCTTACTTGTAGTGATTTTACTTTCATGGCCTTTACTTAATGTTCGGGTCCTGCACTAGTAGCATTATGTCGGTATAAATATTGAATTGATAAGATGGAGATATTTGGATGAGATTGAAGGGGTGCAAGCTGATGGGTGATGGTGTGAGATTTTTTTGTCCTCACTTATATTTCTCTGTGCATGGACCCATTTTGAGAACAAATGCTGCCTGGATATTCAAACTCCTTGACCCGTTTTAGTTGTCTACTGTTGTTTGTTTGTTTGTTTATTTTTAATAAACTTCTAAATTTGTACATTTCGATAAATGCTTTGGGTTAATTTTGAGGGCTGTGTTGAAAATGGGTGAAGGAGGAGAAAACGAGAGGGTGCAAAGACGTGGAGCGTTTGTGCTTGTGCTTTCCAGATCGGGTCCAACTTGCCCTCACCACAAAGGACTACTTGCGTTTTCTGTTGTTTCTCTCAAGTAATAATTGTCTCACACAGGATGTTTGTGCCTTCAACCAGAGTTCCAACCTAAACTGACTAAAAATTATGCTTCATTCTATCTTCCAATACTTGAAAATATTCAAACTCTTGAATCTTTCCACGTGCAGTGTAGAGACACATGAGAACAGGTGCATATGAAAGTGACTCGGTTAAGCTCTATTCTTTTGTATATCTTTTAGCCGAACCATGAATTAGAATTTGATTCCTTTGGGGAAATGATGACCACTTTATTTGGTTTGTGAGACAGCCATTAATACATTTTCTGCACCGTTTGAAATGCAACTTTATACCATGGAGACATATTTATATCATATAAGGTATGCATGGCGCAGGATGGTCTTCATTTCTTCTTCCTGTTCAAACGTATATCATGGATTTTACTAATTACTTCATATTCTTGGAGCAACTGTGCTGGTTGTAATTAATGGGAAATCATCATTTATTGCTCCCATCCTCTTTTCTTTATTTGATTTTTGTTTCTATCATTTTTCAATGTTCATTTTGTAACTGATATGGAAATCAAAGCCTTTGCTTCGATGGGCATGAATCGACCGTCACATGGGTCTTGGACATGGATCATTAATGGTAGTCTCGGATTTTGAGATTGAGCAGTCATAGTTACTAAATTGTGTGTATTTCAACGGAAAATCTATATTTTGTAACATTAATCACACCAACCGTCCACAATGCACTAGCTTGCCCTCACCTACAAAACATTCCTAGCCCTTGAATGATTTTCAATCTCTACTTTGTACATTAGGTAGCTGAAATGGTCGCGAAGAAATGGTCAAGCAAAACTGAGACTGACCACATACCTGTTGGCGAGGACATGGCATCATTTTCACTTCGCATTACTTTGTTGACTCTGATGGGAGACAGTTTCCATGATGAAAAACTAGTTCAGAGTATCTTTACTGCCTATAAGACGGTAAGAATATTCTAGAATAACAGAACAATAGTTTTCATTTCTTTATAATTTTATTATATCTTACTATGTTATTCTGTTAATTAATTTGTTTATCTTTTATCTTTTTTTTTTTCGAGCGAGGGAGGGGGAGGGGAGTTTGGAAGTTGAATGTTGGGGGGGGGGGGGGAGAGGATTGGGGGCATAGTATGTCCACAATGTAGTTCAAAAATTTAATCAAAACATGTGGTAGCAGAGATTATAATAAAAGGAATAAATTACGAAATCTGCGAGTCATTTGTTTCATGATTCATTCGAAATTGAAGGATCTCTCTCTCTCTCTCTCTCTCTCTCTCTCTCTCTCTCTCTCTCTCTCTCTCTCTCTCTCTCTCTCTCTCTCTCTGTCTCTCTGTCTGTCTGTCTCTCTTTCTCTCTCCCTCCCTCCCTCCCTCCCTCCCTCCCACTCCCTCCCCCCCCCCTCTCTCTCTCTCTCTCTCTCTCTCTCTCTCTCTCTCTCTCTCTCTCTCGTAGATGTGGATATAGCAATACTTTTCTGCACAAAACTAAATAGCGGATAGCACAGAAATTGTTTTCATGTGGGTTTTTTTTCGGAGTCGACGATGTTAGGCTGGCATTCAAATATCCTTTTTTATTACAACAGTTCTTTTTTAAAACCTCTTCAATGCAAAGTTTAAGAAAATAGGGACGAAAAATGAGTAAAAACGGTTCTTGTAGGGTAAAGGGTCCGTTGATAACCTTTTACAAGTATTGCGTTAAATACGTCCGTATCGTCGTGTTCGTATTAAAAGCTAACCTGTGTTTTTCCTTGGTTGTGTTTATGTACGCACTTATTCGTTGGACATTGGTTTCATTTTGTTCTTTGGTCTAAAGACATTTAGTAACATTGGATAGTTTGTTGGAGTTTTAAAAGTTGATGTCGTTAATTGAATTTCTCGAACTGTCAGGTTTGGGGTGAGTTGGAACGCCGCCTAACAGATCCCGACCTTCTTGGTGAGAATAGCGCAAGACAAAAGTCATTTACAGAAGGTAGGCTTCGTGCACTTTGGGGGATCTCTGCCCCAACCCCTCTTTCCCTCTTATTTCTAAAGAAATGAAATATTGAAAATTTGATACTCTTCCACCCTTACTAGTATTTTCATCTTCAATCTAAGCCCCTGTAAAAAGATTGCTTAATCGTGACTTCTTGCTTCAGTTGATGAATTGAGGAAATTAGTAGAAGACTTTTAAAACCAATCTAATGCGTAATAAATACATTTTAAGATCTACTTTTTTTTAGAAATCATAATTATCACAAAGATTTTATGTCGAGTGGTTAATGGAGTAGTATAATGGTCGAAGATAGACCTTGGTCTAAGCATTGGTTATAACACAACCAGAATGATATTGAGGCTTGTTCGAATTTCGATCCCAAATAAAAATGTTAACCTCATTGAAGGAAACGTGAAAAAGAACAGGAAGATTATTTCAAGTCAAGTCTGTGTATTCGTTTGTTGGTATTATTATATTTTGTTGTTGTTGGCTGGGGAGGATTAAAATCGTATCGGGTTTCTCGCTCTCGTCTAGCTCTCGGGTGCATTAATGCGGTGGTGAAGAAGGTCTTAGAACACCGACAGAACAAGGTCCAAGACCAGCAGCTCCTGGTTGATGTCATCCTGCAGTCCACAACAGATGAGGATGTGGCAACTTCTGATGTCATTACCTATTTCGTTGCGGCCTTTCACACGACCGCTAACGGTAAATGTCTTTGCTACTTGTGAACTTGGTCTCATTGTATATCTTTCTCCACATAGAGCAGCCTGTTCATACTAGTTAAATGCGTAATTGACTGTGGTGCATTTACTACTTGTTGGAAATTTTGAATACCCAAAGGGTGGGGCTGAAAGCAAAAGATAAACGGGGAGAGGAATTGTTATGGGTATGCAGGGTTGTTTGAAGATTGTTGTTACTCATCTTTCCTTTATTAAAGATGGCGTTTAAAGCAGAAGCTCTGTGATATTGCTTATTTGATATGCTCTTTTGGGGTAAATCTTATACCGTAATTCCAGATTTAAAGGGGTTACCTCTATGTTTTGGTTTTTGTTGATTTTTATGGATTCCTCAACCGCAACATGGTACATGTATCTCCTTCCAGGTTCTCTTATTCATGTATGCTGACAGGAGTGTTTTCAGTTCAGAAATCAATTTCTTTAAAACACTTGTTTTATAATTTCCAGCTTTCAGAAGCAAAAATACTCTTTCCTAGGTCTACACGAGCACAATCTGCATTGGAAATAAGACAAATAGATAAACAGGTGAATCACAAATTTATCTAAAACTTCACTTGAATAGGAAATCCCACAATGATTCGCAATAGGCAACTTTGTTTCGCTTTACAGAGTATAAACAGTAAAAATTATTGCTAAGCACGACTTAAATCACTGTGCACACCGCATTGACTGTGATTCTCTAACTTGTGTACGGGAGTGATACCAGAAGTCACTAGAGTAAAGGAAAAAAAATCCCTAACATAACGTACTTGGTGTCTCAACAGTGTTGACATGGGTCATGTATTTCCTGGCCACTCATCCTGACATTCAGAGCAAGCTGCACTCGGAGATTGTCCAAGTCTTAGGCCAGAAAGACGTCATCACTGATTCCAACTATGGCCAGCTAAGGTACCGCTAATCATTGTCACATGCTGTTCTCTTAACTTTGAAACTAATGACGTATTATAGTTTTCTTTTTTTTCATTTTCTTCTTCTTTCTTTAAAGAGAGTCAGTATAGAGTATCTAGAACTATGTAAATATCTTATTATAGCATGGAAACTGTTGATGAACGGAACGCTGCTAAATTATACTACCTTCTTTAAAGTTAAATTGCTTAATCCAACCAAAAGAACACTGACAATCCTTGAAACGTTTTTCATTTAAGTGTCTCACTTTAGAAATGTCAGTGTGAAGATATTATCTCCAGAAACATTTAAGTTTTAAACTGTTTATTCGAAATTTTGTTAAAATTTGTTTTTTTTTAATTGGGAAGGGGGGTGGGGTGGAATATAGTTATTTGTGCTCAACAGACTGCTTACTACACCAATACAACTCTAAATGCTTTTTTAAAAACCTGTACACTGTTTAAACTGTTTCTTTCACTCAGTCTTAAAATTGTTTGAACTGAGCATCCTGTTCGGGAAAATGCTTTAGCCTCAACTGTCATGAGCAATTCAGCCATAGAAATTAGTGATATTACAGTCGCTATATCATTGTTGGCGTTAACGTGAAATGCTAAGTGTCTTTATTATATATTAAACGTTACAAGGGCCCCGAGGAGGTTTAAGGGGGTGGGGGATGGAACTGAAAGTGGAAACGAAAGTAGACGACAGATCCTGATTAGTGAGCAGGAAAGGAGGGGAAAGGGGAACATTTTAGAGAAGAAAATTTTCCGTCGCTGTTGGGTTTCAAACCCAGGACCTATAGAATGAGAGGCGAACACCGTAACCACTAGACCACGAAGGTAACTCTCCCCCCCCCCCTGGTATTTTTTCATTCTTGTGTCCAAAATCAATTGTTTAGTAAAAAAAAATAAAAATCAGGGTTTCCTTCTTACTCCCTGTCAGTTATTAAACAATAGTTAAGTTTCAGAAACTGTTGCTTGACTTGTACATGATCGTCATAGGGTGCTTTGAAAAGGGAGGGCTGCCATTGCCTTATCAGGCATGGTATTGGGGATCAATTGGAAACTGAAAAAGAGGTAAACAAACTGGAAGTTATAGAGGCACAAGTAGGGATGAGGCAATCACCACACACACACATACAAACACACATGTATAAAAAAACACACACACTCTCTTTCTCTCTATACATATCTCTCCCTGTCTGTCTCTCTCTCTCTCTCTCTCTCTCTCTCTCTCTCTCTCTGCCTCTCTGTCTCTGTCTGTCTGTCTGTCTGTTGTCTATCTGTCTGTCTGTCTGTCTCTGTCTCTCTCTCTCCCTCTTTCTCTCTCTCTCTCCTCTCTCTCTCTCCCTCTCTCTCTCTCTCTCTCTCTCTCTCTATATATATATATATATATATATATATATATATATATATATATATATATATATAATCATACAACTCAACTAGACCACTATGAAGGAAATACTCGAAGGCATGCTGTGGACAACATGGGAAAAGATTGGATACCGCACAATGTGAACCTACCACACCGAAGTACAGACTGGGATGAATAAATGATATGACAAATTTGCACGAGAGCAGCTTGCGGCTGTAATCCATCAGGGGTCATTACACGTCAATCTCTGATCGAGAGATAACACCTCGAGATGTCCCAGGGGATTGTCAATATTTTGCTTTTGTTCTCTTCTTTCTCGCCCAGTCACCCAGGTAGTTGATGGGTGCTCTATCGTTGTGTGGTCTTCAGAGTCTGTTCAACATCTCTTTCTTATGAAGGGCTATAAGATATCCAAATTTAAAAAAATTAGTACCCAACGAATATCTTTTTATATCAAGGAAACTTTTGATAAATGGACCACTCTTTATACATTCTTAAAATTTGAGTAGCTTAATTAATTTGTCGTGGTGTGCTCCTACTTCGTCTTTTCAATGTATCTTATTCCCTCGTTTGTCTATTGTGAAATGTGGTTGCTGTCGTATCTTCCAGACATTGACTGAACTGGGTTACAACTTGTTAATTTAATCAATTTTTTGTTTGCAGGTATCTCCACCAGGTACTCCAGGAAACACTGCGGTGTGCTGTTGTAGCCCCATGGGGCGCCCGGGTCCAGGACGTCGATTCTGAGCTTGGTGGACACAAGGTTCCCAAGAATGTAAGATTGGATAGTTTAGATTTGTCCAGTAGTGAGTTGTGTATTAGAGCTCAGATATTCTTGAGGCACGAAGTATAGTGAAGCGTTTCAGAAAAGGGCTTTAAAAAAGACTTCTGTTGTGACATTAATCTGGCCATGGAAATAATATTGTGGACTTTATTCCCATATTGACAGGACAGGATATTGTATGCATAGATGCTACAATGTTTCAATGTATTTCGCCTCTCTTGAGGCGGCACTTTATAGCCTCTTTATGTGGTTCTCAGGTTTCTCATTTGTAATTTCTGTCTGTTTTATTTGTGTCTACTTCAGACTCCAGTGATTCACGCGTTTGGTGTTGTCATGCAGGATGAAAAGCTGTGGCCCTTTCCACAAAGGTAAATCTGCCTGATTAACCTCAGTTAAATATTTCATTGCTTACCTTCAAAGATCTCTAATCCCTTTAAAATAGTGTTAGGTTTCAAGAGTTGGGTGGAACATTTTTTTTCTAAGGTCTCATCATAATAATAGATGTGCAGTAAATGTTTGTCTTGTCTCTCTGTTTTTGCAGATTTGATCCTGATCGCTTCAGTGTCGAAAATTGCAAGGGCCATCCACCGTATGCGTTTTCCCCCTTTGGATTTGCTGGCAAGAGGATTTGCCCTGGTTATAAATTCTCCTATAAAGAGGCCACTGTTTTGATAGCGATCCTTATCAGGAAGTAAGTACAGTAGGGAAGCTGACCCTGATCAGGCCTGGAACGTCATCTTATCATTTGTTCTCTTTCCTTGTTTGTTTTTGTTTGTCTTACCGAAAAATGGAAAGGTGACTCGAATGTAGGGGCGTCGGAATAGCGAAATGAATTGCGGGCTTTTTAAAAACCACTTTCGACTTTCATACTTAATAAAACAATAACATTGTTACGATGTTGTATTTCAGACCTTAACGTCAATGTGTGCGGTTATGAACACCCGGTCACACACTTTCCAAAAGGAACGTGAATGACATATTTGAACCATCCATCGTGACGTACGAAGTAACTCTTACACTCTTTTGATTTTAACACTTAATATCATGTTGACGTCAATTAAAGAAAGCCACGCGCGAGGTGTCTTTATAAGGTCATTGCAGAGTGTGGGGCGTAGTACCCATTGTGTAATGAGAAACATGTTGAATGACCTTTGGAAAGTTAGACAAGGAGAGTTTGGACTCTGTCGTGGGGAAAATGCGCATGGACGTGTTGGTTACTACGTACGGCGACTTACTATACCTTTGGGTCCTACGTTACATGCTCCTTAGATGAAGCGTCTACGTGATCGATTAATCGCTGCTTTTTCTTCGATAGTTTTGGAACATAGTCGTCAAATGCACCCAAAGACGTGAGCTTTATCGATTAAAATCATGGATTTGTATGATAAAATCCAAGACCTTGCACTCTGATGTAATTCTAGTTCACCATGGAGCGTACAATTTGACTCTACGTGTATTTGGAACCAGATGAGGAGAAAGGAGGGAAAGATTCTACGTGCACTTGAAAAAAACAACTGGTTTTGTGACCTTCATTAGTGCGCTTCTAGAGCGCATCAGAGCAGCAAAGTATTTTTACAGATTGCAATGACCGGAGGGCACGAGAGTGTCCGGTCTAGGATATTATAAGTTGTATAAAAACACCAATGAGCCTCAAGAAAATTACTCCACCCTCTCCACCTCGTTTTGGGGTTTCTCTCAAAAGCAGATTCTAGCCTTGATTATTATAAGCTTACAATCAGATTGGTCGTCTCTACCTCAAATTGGTAACGAGGACTAACTCCTAATAAACTCATGGCTGTGGGGAATTCTTTTTTATTCTTCGACTTTTTACCGAACCATGATCCGGTCAGGGCATGATTATTGAATCGACCCCTGGCCACGAAAGTCTTGATCAAGACTGTCAATTTTGAAACCAAATTGATTTATAATTGCAATGGTGTATTCAAATTTAAAGTCAAGTTACTTTTTAACAATCTTGAGACCATTATGCCTACTACTTGGAGAGACGTTATAACAATTGCTTTCAATTCAAAGTAAGAAAACATTTTAAAAGAGAAACGTTGTCTATTATTTTGGCGAGTATGCACATGGTGTGGGGGATTTATTTTCATTCACAATTTACAAGACAAATTTCTCCCTGCGAGATGAATAAAGATTGTCATTGTAATTGTCACTGTCAATGTCTTCGTCAATTCAGAGATACTGTCTCAGATAAGAGGTCTTAGTCTTAGTGTTCATTTTACTTTTTTGCCTATTGTGAGAAAGCTTTTTACAAGTAGACTTATCTCAATCTAGTTCTTTGTCACACTTTGAGTACCCTACCAAACAAGTCAGATTCTTTACAATGACGAAGTAGAACATCGTGATAAATCGGGTCTTGAAAGGTGCAAATGTCTTCAATTTTCATTTAGATGGCTTTCAAAAAATTAAAAAGAGCAAAGGCATTTTTAACCCACCAGATTTGATTCAAATCTCTTTCTTTTTCACAGGTTTGAGGTGAACATGTGGGATGACCAGGTGGTGAAGCCTTTCTTTGGTTTAGTCACTCATCCACAGGAGGAAATCTGGCTCAAGGTATCCAAAAGAAAATGATCTGGTCTGAAGGGAAAGTTCTGCTCACAAAGTACAGCTGGTGATTTTTTTTGTCACGTGAAGAGAAACAAAATGTCTTTTTTTTTCTTTGATTGAAATGTTCAAACTGAAAGACGAATCTTCTGTACCTTCTTACGATATATTAAATCATTCAGACTTTGTTAACAACGGATAAAATAATAATATAACCTATTTCTATTTAAAATTATGAAGTCCTGGACCAGAACAGAAGCCAGTTACATTCTTTGTTTATTTCCTTGGCCATTTCGGAGACGGACATTCAATTAGGAGGTCCCGTCCGTTAAATAGCCTTGCAGTATTGAAAAAGAAGTATGCTCCCCTTCCCCCCAATAATAATACACGTGCATTGTACAGCTAGGATAGGCATATCAAAGTGGAAGTTAAGCCACATAGGATTTTCCATTGACCAATGACCAGTATTCTCAACATTAAAAGGCTTGTTGAGGTTGTTCTTCTAGTCCCGGCATTTTTTCCTGCTTGCCAGTCCGAAGAGGAAGGGAAAACTAGTTCTAGGTCACGCCTGTTGAACTCTTGAACTCTATCCAGCATGTCAAAATGAAAAACCATTATACGCACGATCTTCAAAAAAGAATATTTTTTTTTAATGGGCCAATTTGGAGTCAAAATACTATACCCCTCATATTATACGCGAAGTCATCGTATAGAAGACTTTAATTTTGTACTTTTCTCTGTTCTTGCTACAAACATGGCGCCTTCGCACATTCAAATACCAATGTGTATGCATACAACGTTAAGTGGACACACATAATATATAATGTAATGTATATATATTATGTATGTCCAATTAACGTTGTATGCTTACACATTGTGATCTGAATGTGTGAAGGCGCCATGTTTCACTACGCTTGAAATAAAAAAATGCTTCCCATACTTGACTTAATTGTTCGTTTTTTGGGGTTGTTTTTTTTTAATTTTGGAACCAAGCCATGCACGGCTTATCATTCGGATGGCTTATCTTTGCTACCGGTCTTCATTTTTTAAAGCAACACAAGACACCTCCTGAGGGGAAGTCTTTCAGAAGTGATCAAAAACCCTTATCAGTTGATGTTTTGCACATGGAAGTATTCCGGAAGCGTGAAATTTGGCCCACTAGTTAAAGGAAAGAAAAGTGAAAGAAAGCAGAAACTCACCAAATGCCCTAATTAGATTGTTTGTTCATTAATTTCATATTGACATCACGCATCATATCACAAGACACTATCAGGCAATGAATAGATCACAGTTGCCAGTCAATCCTTTAATACAAATATACATAATAATAATAACAATAATAATAATAATAATAATAATAATAATAATAGTCAAACCCCGCTAATAATAATAATAATAATAATAACAGTCAAACCCCGCTATACCGCCTACCTTGGTACGAACATAAAGTTGGCGGTATTGCCATCTTGACAAATGATACACTAGTAAATATAATATATACTAGCCGAAATCAAAACGTGGCTAGCCAGTCTTGACTCAGCCGAAATCAAAACGTGGCTAGCCAGTCTTGACTCATCTGAATCTGTATTGAGCGATTGCCCTGTGCGGGGGTAAAACATGTAGATCTAGAGCTAGGTCCAGCTGAACTTTACTTGAAAGTTTTGCTCAACCAGAAGCTTAAAAACGTGTCAAGGACTGTTCACGTACAGGTTTTTGTTTTGTTTTGTTTTTTTTGTTTTTACGGGGTACTCTTCAGTCCTCAGGCCACCTCAGAACTAATAGGGGGTGCCCACATACGCAATCGCATCAGGTCGATCTGGTAATCGAGGCAAGCCAAATTGAGGGCGCAAAGAGTCCATCGTGGCCCAACCGATCGACTCGGTCGGTGACCTTCAAAAACAAACGGGTTTGTCTTCAGGCCCTCGAATCGCGTGATCGGGTGGTTTGCAGCCAATCACAACAAGGCGGAGTCACGTGTCCATGTTGACACTCGAAATCCGGAGGCGCCCTCTTTGAAAAAGTGTAGACTTTGCGAACAGAGTTACCCTACTTGTGAGAAGAAAAAAAAGCGGAACTAACAAACTGTGCTATTCCTATTCTTCTTCTGGAGAACAGAAATGTAGCTTCAAAATGAAGACTGCAGCACCATCTGAACCAATGCGCTGACTTTTGCAGACTCTTTTTTGGCCGAGTGAACTAGAGCTATCTACTTATAAACGATCTTTGATAATAGAAAGTTATCGATGTAATTATAGTAACCATGTTTAGGGGATTCCAGGCTGCTGCAGCACTGCAACAGGGAACTGGGGACTTGAGCCCTGAAGCCATTGAGGTTAAAGGTTTCTCTACTGTAACTTCCAGGACGTCGGGCACAATCGCGGCGGAGTTGTAGAGTGCGCTGGCGCCACCAGAAATCGACACAACCCCACGACCCGACCAGACCCGATCCGCTCTCGCTAGTGGGCACCCCCTACAACTACAACGCGTAGACTTGGCCGTGGATCTTTATACGGGGTGCCCACTACGGCTGGATCGGGCCGATCGCCTGAAACTGAAAACAAACACGTTTGTTTTGGAGGCGATCGAGTCGGGCGATCGGCCCGATCCCAGCCGTAGTGGGCACCCGGTATTACAATGCAAACGCTTCACGGGCGTCCACCGGCCGCCTTGTCATCGGGCTGAGATCTGGCGACGCTAAGTATTTTACTGACAGGTCAAGGTGGCGCAGTTCCTTTGTTGTTTTTTCAGGCCACTTTGAAATGTCATTCCATTTTTGTATGTTTTTTGTTTTGTTTTTGAAAAGTGTTTTACGGCGCTCGCAACTGCATAGGTCATATGAGCGCGCGGGACACACCTAATATTTTCAGTTGGTAGGAAATTTTGAATTTTGCCCGGGTGGCGGCCGAAGCCTACTCTTATCGATTTTAGACCACCAAGGGATCTTTAACGTGCGCAACTTGCACACGGGCCCTCCGAGATTTTCCGCCCTTGTCCGAGAAGGCTAGGTGTAGATCTTTCCTACCAGATCAGGGGTGTGGCAGAAAGACAGCAGTAAGGAGGAGCCAAGGAGTAGCAGTAGAAAGGCTGCAGAAAGAGTCAGGAGCCCAGAGGAGGGGGCAAAGGAGGTGAGGGGGTGGGGGCAGAAAGTGGAAATAAATCAGACAACAGAACATTGCAGAGAGCAGGAAAGGAGGTGAAAGGAGACAATTTTAGAGAAGACAATTTTTTGGTCGCTACCCGGATTCGAACCCGGGACCTTTGAATGAGAGGCCAACACCTTAACCTCTAGGCCACGAGAGCCACCCCCCCCCCCATTTATATATATATATATATATATATATATATATATATATATATATATATATAAACAAAACCAGAAAAGATTACTTTTGGAGCTGATTTTCTCGTAGGGGAAAGAAAATTACCTAAAGAAATATTGTATAATAAGCTAGCGTCTATTTGGTGTCTTCCTCGAGTTTAAATGTGTTGAAGTAGACAATATTAAGCAGAGATCTAAAGAGTCTCTGACAAAGTGTACTGAAGGAGCAATTTTGAAATCCTGATTTTATGGAAGCTTTACAAATTTACATGAAAATATTGCTTTTGATGGAAGATTTAACAAATATGAATGGTTCTATCAAGACATTTTTACCATTCCAGTGGCGTGATTTGCTTTTTTTAAATTAAAAAACGCATGTCCCTTGCTCTATGTGTTGTCACACGATTTCAGGAACATTCAGAAAACCAGTACAGTGGAAACCTGATATAACAGGGATGGTGGGAGTAGAGAAAATGTCCTGTTATATCCGATCCCTGTTAAATCAGAAATGCTAGGAAAGTAAGCATTTGTGGACTAATCCAGATGTACTTATTCATGGGTAGTTTCCCTTGCCACAAGTACCCACGAACAGGGGTTTTGGCACCAACTTTCGCCTTGCCTCCTTAAACCACATCAGGAGAGCTTGGTCCACGACATCTGCATCGGGTAGTCTCATGTTCTTTCCATCCAGAGCAAACTTTCCATTGAAGTATGCTACCACTATCTTCTCTCTATCCTTGATAATGGTGTGAATCGACCCTTGTGGAATGTCGAACTGACGACAAATCTCTGCCTGTGGAGCTTGCTTTTTGTCAACAGCCTGGATTATTTCGTATTTGTGTCAATTGAAAGTGAAAGGCATTTTATCTAGCGCTTGACATCGTTGGTGACACATTATGCGTGCGTGTTGCTAGGTTTCAGGCCAGATCGATGTCTGCGGCACACCGCAGCCCTCTCTCGCTTCACACGCTGCGTGTGCCTGCAGTGGCATGGCTTGCGTGGGCTTGCTCCATCACTGCGTTACTCTGTTTCTCTGTCTCTCTGTCTCTCTGTCTCTCTCTTACGTTTTACTCATTGTTAACGAGCCTTTGTCCCTGCTATAACCGGTTGGGCTCCGATGCGGCCCTGTTATTACCGATAACTTTTAATAGAGACAAAGAGTAGGAAAAAACGGGGATTTTAAAAATCCCTGTTATTACCGGATCCCTGTTATTACCGGGCCTGTTATATATGGTTTCCACTGTATTATTTAATAATATTCAAATATTTAAGTGGATATGAAAGTACTACGCTTTTTGTGTCCCCTATCTTCTCAGTAATTTTTTTAAAAATCGTTGTCACACTGTTGCAAGAGATATGGTAGTTTTATTAAGTATGAATTTTGTTTGTTTGAGAAAGCTGACTTTAGAGGAGAGAGGATCTCTTTTTGTTGTTCCGCTGAATTCGTGTTTAAAATTTTGTAGCCAGGAACAATCGGAACATGCAGAGAGAAACAGTGTCACAAGGGACAAGTAGATACATGTAGGAAGCATGTTTCCAGTGAGAATTGATCCTTTCTAGTTATCTAGACTGTAAATTAGTCAGTTTCAAAGCAGACATGGCAACAAAGACAATGAAACATGTGGTCAAAAGGAAAATCCCCACTTAGAAGTGGGGTGTGATAACAACATGATTGTTCTCTGTAGCAAGTGACATGCTGGTTATCTGATTTCTATTAATTTGCATTCATGTTCATTATCCAATTTTTCTGTTTGTTTTTTTTTGAAATTTGGAACTACGTGATTATAATATTTTTGTTTCAGATTCAATTATTCAATTAATTCTTCTCGCATTTCTAATTTATGTTGTTACACTCTGAGGTGTCACAAGGGACATAGCAAGTAGGCTTTTCACAAAATATAAGTCAGTTTCTTGTAGAAAATATTGCTTCAACGCTTTTTTCCTTCCTAGTTTTAATTTAGTCTGTATTAAAGTTTCAAATGGTATCTTTTAATTAAAGTGTTACTTTGAAAGGTCCATAATCTCTTGTTATCACACAGCGTCTTAGTTTTTGCACAAGGGGCATGTGACTTGACATTATCAAACACTTGACAGTACTTCCGTTTGCAACACATTGTGAAATTAAAGCACTGCAGTAAGCCCAATACCTGGATGGAAAGTGCATAACTTTCCAAGGATGCTTCACCATCTGCTGGAAAACTTTGTCTGGCTCTCGATCCCTTTTGACATGTGTCAACACAGTTGCACCTTTTTCTTGCCTAAATGTGCAGTAAATGGTCCATACATTGCTTTCAAACTGAAATACCAAGCCCTATTCTTGTTACGAATGAGTAAATAATTAGAAATCACCTACTTCAATCGAAAATTTACCATTTTTATTGTTGTCACACGTCACAAGACACATCTCTAAAGAAGAATGAAACACCACCTCTTTTTTCAAAATCCGGGAAGCAAATATTATCTTTGGACTTCCATTTTAAGAAAATATAGCACACGACAATGTACCTAACTATATATAGTTAGCCCCAAAAACACAGAAATAGAAAGAAAATCAAGGGGGGTAAAAAAAAGAACATTAAAATAATTAACGTGGTTAGCTCTCCTGATGAATGAAAGTGGAAAGCAGAAAATCTTGCGTAATAATAATAATAAATAAGCCAAGCATTAATTTGTATAGAGCATGTCCCCACTCGAAGTCGAAAACAAGCTCTATGCGCTTTACACTAGGCCTATATGAAAACAAAAACAATAACACCATTTATTCTGCTTTTTGACACACCCCTTTAATTAATCATACATCCAGCAGTACTTCATTAAAAGGCTTTACTAGCTCAATGACATAATAATTATGTCTCGTTCTTTGTGGGTCAAGATGGCAAGACTTTTAACCAATCGCTGCTCACTACTCGGCCAGCACCTATAGATAGAACGTATTGCGGAGCATTAACCTAACGACAGCACGAGATTGTGTTTCTTTAAGCTGTTTTCATGAATTTTCCTCACTTCACCCAGGTGGGAATGGGTACCCAGCCAAAGGCAGCGAATGATCGTGCCAGGATGTTAGCGTTTTAGCGCCTGTATAATGACAGCTTGCACTGCATGTTTCCTAGGACTAGGAGGTTGAGATTGTTTTAGAATGCTTGCAGGAATGCTAGGGCAATAATATTATTATAAATCTTTAAAAGCTTGCTACTGAGCAGGGATGTGAGCCGTACAAATGACTGTTTTTATTATTATTTTTATTATTATTATTATTATTATTATTATTATTATTATTATTATTACCATCATCATCATCATCATCATCATCATCATCATCATCATTATTATTATTATTATTATTATTATTATTATTATTATTTTTAATATTTTCATAAACACTTTGTAATGTGTCCATTTACACAGACCGCCTGCCAAAGCCAGTGTTCCATGAGTTGACTACATGCACATTTCAGACTGTACCGTCTTGTCAGTATTAATGCTTATTTATGTAGTGCAAATACGAGTGTCATCATCGCTTGGGTCAGCCCAAAGAGCGTTTTTTCAAGTCAGACTTCCACTATTGAACAAACCATTTGCCTTGATAATGGGCGATGACCTTGGTGTGGTGTGGTAGATCTTTTACGGTGCGACAGACACAGTCATAGCCATTTAAGCAAGCAAAGACTGTGTTGATAAAAGATTTGGATGTGTGTATTGTTGGCTTCTTTTATTTTTTGTTTGTGTATGCTTACAATTTGGGCAGGCGCGGTTCGTCCATAGAGCACAGTCGTGCAGTGCCGCCCAATTTTTAAAAAATATTCTATTACGCAAAGCACCCACTAACATAAAATAAAAGAAGCAAGAAACAAGCCCTAGCCAAACATAATATCAAAACAAGGTCCGATCGTAGGCGCCGTAACTGTCATTTCTATGTCTATATCGCCGTAAAACATCTACTATGCCATGCCAAAGTCTACGCGCTTCAACTAAGCACAATAGGATATTCAACACTGGTAACCTGACCTATAAATCGCTCTTTTGATAATCCAAGCGATGACGACACTCGTAGCGAGTTTGGCGGTACATTAATATTAATAAGCCTGCACATCTCAAATGTGCTCCTGCCGAATAGTGCCGATACATAGCCCACAGTAAGCATTCTAAAAATAAACGCGATAGACTCTACGCTATTCAATGCCGAAAGTATGTGAGCCTCAGAGCAATCCAGCGGAGTGCTCAAGTGAATTGTGATTGGTTCATCGTCTTGCCGCTATTTTAAGTGACTCAGTGACCGTGAGCCTGGGGGAGGTGAACGTGACATACTTAAGTCACCGTCCTAATATGGGTTGTGCCTTTGAATGGTTTTGTAGTGGAGTGGTGAAAGTTATTACTAGAGTGTTCAGTTCTCATGCAGGAAGAACGAATTCGATGTTTCGCTGACAAACAGATTTTAAGTTCTTGAAATCAAAGCGGCAAGTAAAAAGAATGAAAATAAAAGCACGAGGACCTCCCTCACCAACCCAAAGATCCTAAAATTAAGCACCATCTCATTTACTATGCCCTTGACAATCTTCTGCCTGCGATAGCTTAATTGTGCACGCCCATTTTTTAGACCCACGAGCCGCCCCTGAATTTGGGGCAGCATTGCACGACTGTGCTCAATTAGCGAACTGTCTAATGTTATAGGCCTATAATATAGGCTCTCTCGCCCCTTCTTTCTACAGAGAGAGAGAGAGAGATATACAGAGACAGACAGACAGACAGACAGACAGACAGAGACACAGAGAGACAGACCGACAGGCAGACACAGAGAGAGAGACACAGACAGAGAGAGAGAAAGACACACACACACACACACACACACACACACACACACAGAGAGAGAGAGAGAGAGAGAGAGAGAGAGAGAGAGAGAGAGAGAGAGAGAGCGCGAGAGGGAGGGAGAGAGAGTTCTGACAGAAAAATATTTTCAACAACAATGCACAGGTGAAGCTTCAATAAAAATAAAAAATATTGTCACCAGCTGTCGAGTGTTACATAAACTTACTCTAGGTCTATGACTAACATGTAAAGACTAAGTCAGTGAGCCTCGCCGGTATAATAATATTGTAAAGTGGTGCTCCGGACAGCTGAATGGCAGGGCACACTCCATATTGCGTTGGACTGCTTGTACCAGGATGTTCGACTTCGTGACTTTAGCGATGACACTTTTTAGTGTTTTTCTTGTTGCCGTTCTGTGGTTCTACCAGGTACTTTTAATTTGGACGCGTGTACATAATGGCTTTAATAACGGTCCATTATCCTTAGCCGAGGTGACTATGTTATTATTATGTCAGTAGGATTGGACAGTTGTATCAGAGCAATATCTAAAGCTATGAGAATTGCTAAACTGAATGAATTAATAGAGACCTGACGTTGTAGAGCGTTAGCTGAAGTAGTTTTGTTAATTCAAAGTTGAAAATACAACTTTACTAACAGCATGATCATAATAAATTCACACCTAGATCTAGGTCCTAAAGCACTCAATAACTGATACTGAAATTTCTGACTCACAAAAAATAGACAACAAGTCGTGTATCCCGAAATTCTCTTTTGGACGCATTATTTAAACAATAGATTCTTTTGTTTGCACTCTACTTTCCTTCTAAAATTGTCTGTATGACGTCAGCGTTATAATGAGGTACCTCTGCGTTGACTCATATTGTTAGTTGGATTTTAATTTTTTGTCTTTAAATTTTACCGTCGGTTAGGTAAGCTATTAATAATAAATCAATGCCAATAGGGGAAAAAGAATCATTGGCACACTTGACTCTTATAATACGTTTCCGCTTATGCACATCTCTTTAAATGGGATCACTGAATTTCGATATTGTCGAATGCAGCTTTTTTACTTTCAGAGCTCAAAGAAAGTCACCACAATACCTGGCCTTGATCCAACAAGTAAAGAGTAAGTATATATTTACGACAGACGATGTTACGAATCATTCTCCCTTGTATAGCTAAAGACTGTCTAAATGTCATATATCATCCAGCATGCAGAGTTGCATTTTCCCCTTTTCAAAAGCTCGTCATCAATAACCTCCCACCCCAAAAAAAATTTTTTTTTAAATTAATAAATTTAAATTTTTTTATTTAAAAAAAATAAATAAATAAATAAATAAATAAATAAATAAAACTAAATCTAAATCAACAACAACCCAACAATAAGAAGAAAAAATCCGGGCGAAGTACCTGCTGGAGATGGATAGGAATATGACGTCTGTGGTCTAGTGGTTAAGTTGTTGGGCTTGCAACCGAAAGGTGGGGGGTTGAACCCAATCAGAGACCTACAGTGGAAACCTGATATAACAGGGATGGTGGGAGTAGAGAAAATGTCCTGTTATATACGATCCCTGTTAAATCAGATATGCAAGGAAAGTAAGCATTTGTGGACTAATCTAGCTGTACTTATTCATTGGTAGTTTCCTTTGCCACAAGTACCCACGAACAGGGGTTTTGGCACCAACTTTCTCCTTGCCTCCTTAAACTACATCAGAAGAGCTTGGTCCACAGCATCTGCTTCGGGTTGTCTCAACTTCTTTCGATACAGAGCAAACTTTCCATTGCAGTATGTTGCCACTATGTTGTCTCTATCCTTGATAATGGTGTGAACCGACTCTTGTGGAATGTCGAACTGACGACAAATCTCTGCCAGTGGAGCTTGCTTTTTGTCAACAGCCTGGATTGTTTCGTATTTTTTTTGTCAATTGAAAGGCATTTTCTCTTGCGCTTGACATCGTTGGTGACAATAGACACATTACGCGTGCGTGTTGCTAGGTTTCGGACTAGATCGAGGTCTGCAGCACACCGCAGCCCTCTCTCGCTTCACACGCTGCGTGTGCTTGCAGTCCCTGCATTACTCTCTCTCTCTCTCTCTCTCTCTCTCTCTCTCTCTCTCTCTCTCTCTCTCTCTCTCTCTCTCTCTCTCTCTCTCTCTCTCTCTCTCTCTTACTTTTACACATCGTTAACGAGCCTTTGTCCCTGCTATAACCGGTTGGACTGCGATGAGGCCCTGTTATTGCCGATAACTTTTAATAGAGACAAAGAGTAGAAATAAACGGGGATTTAAAAAATCCCTGTTATTACCGGATCCCTGTTATTACCGGGCCTGTTATATATGGTTTCCACTGTATTTCTTTTCTTTCCTTTTGAAAGTTAGTTTGCACGGATTTTCCCCACTTCACCCAAGTAAGAATGGGTACCTGGCTATAAACAGCGAAAGATCTATTCAGCTTGTTTGCCCAATCAGCTGCTTGCACTGTACTTTTCCCGAGAGGCCTAGAATGTTCCTCGATGTTCTGGGGTCTGCTTGGGTGTTAATATTAATTGTAAAAGGCGTATAGCTTGCTATGGAGCGAGGATATGTACTATACACATGATAGTTGTTAGTTATATATTTATTTTGATATACTATTTAGATTATTGTTAAGGGCCAAAATACATGTACCTGTAGTATTTAACTGACAAGGTAGTCATGAAACCAGAATAAAATGAGCAGCGGCCAAGATGCTCTAGGACACGACATGCCATTGACAAATTAATTCTATTGTTGTCATTAGTGGTTTCTAAAGAGGACTTTAGAGAGAAATGAAGATATATCGTTGGTGTGTAGAGTTGATGATCATTGTGAAAAAGATTATCCTGTTCCTGTTACTTGTGGAAAGAGCGGGGCGCACAGGGAAGTGGTTGCTGATGCAGCATAATATAATAAGTAATAAGAGTGAGTAATGAGCTGCAAACATCATGTTTATATCTAAGCGATCAAATAGCTTAGAAATATATATTAAGGCGTTCCTTTTCTGGCTGGAAGTTCATACGAGTATAAGCACTGATTTAATGGAAAAGTAACCATGCGAGGAATATATAGGTCAGTTACACAACACATGTTTTTATAGAGAAATATTGCCAGTGCTAGCTTTTTTTTTACATACTACAGATGTATCTGAAGGAAATACACACGCTGAGGGGCACAGCTGCTCTATCATGGAGAAATTTATTTTTCCCCAGAGATGGCAACTTCAGTGATATCGCTCGAGCAGGCAGTCTGCATGAGTTTCTGCTTGACCTACATAACCAGCTTGGAGACATTGCTGGTTTCTGGTGGGGACAGACCTATGTGGTCAGCATTGCTTCACCTGAACTGTTCAAAGCCCATGCCCATGTGTTTGACAGACCGGGTACGCCTTTTATGCAGAAAGTTCAAATTGTCTTTTTTTCTATAGAAGAACTAATTGTCAATAACGTATACTAACCTGCAAAAGAAAAGCATAATTAATTTTACAGTACCAAAATTGTAAATATATTGCACTAGGTTATTCGATTGGCCCGTTAATAACAATGCAATGAATTCATTGACCACTTAGGCAGTGAACAAGAAATATTCGAAGAGTGCAGCAGGGGAGCCGTTGTAACTTCACATCACCGCCAGCTAACTACAGTTAATTAAACAATCGCGAACTAAAATAGATTGGCGATGGAGACAAGTACTCCTCTTTTGGCGAGAGCACATTTGTCTTGGATCCTGCAATTGGTCGTATTCGTGCATGGCGCAGGGGCAGATAACACTTTTCCTAGAACGTCTTCTTGGAAACAAACACCTGGGGAGATGAAAGTGTTGCCATTTAGGAGGGGTTGGGAGAGGGGGGGGGCATTGCTTTAACGTTGGTCAACGGCACATAAGTAGTGTCACTGCTCTACTGTACATCACGCAGATCTTGATGTCCCTGGTGACGCCTCATATTCACACAACATCGGAACGTCTTCCAGTATGATTTCACAAGACCCCATTCTGCTTGTGTCATACACGACTTTCTGAGGCAGAGTAACATTCGCTTGCTGCCCCATCGAGCTCGCCGATCGGAATTGAACCCCAAATGAGCATCCTTGGGACACCTTTACAGGGACAACTCAACCGTATGCACAAGTTGTAACAAACAGCAGCACAGTTGGGCGGGGCGTCACCTAGTTGTGGGGACAAACTTAAAATAGGTACTTAAACTAAATAATAAACTCTGTGCTTCACAGATGTGCAGCATGCAGTAGAAATCGGGGCCAGACTTTGTGAACCAAGGTCGAGGTCTCACACTGAACACATTGACGTCCAAAGTACTCAGTATTATTCCCCAAGTGATGCCACATCTCACTAGCAACTTTTTTTTTTTACCGATCAAATTATTTTGAACTTGAGAGCAATACTTCTTGCCTTTTTAATAGGCCTAATTTGTGTATAGTGTATTCGTGTTTCTTTTGCCGGTCAGTATATATTTGTTTAGGATATATATTTCCAACTAACCTATTTTCACGTCTGTGACATTCATGGAAAGACAAAGCGTATCTTTTTCTCCAGGGATGTGAGCTACATAAATATTGTATAAAAGGACTGTGACTACAGTACATTCCAAATGTTGATAAATAATTTGGATGCAGGGGAAGAGAAGGTACAGATTTGCATCGTATTATTGATGTCTATTTTAATTGCACTGATATTTTCATATAGACGTTCAGATGACAAATTCTAGGAAGAAATTTAATAAGCCGTATAGAATATATACAAATATATGACAAAATACATGTATATGACATTTTTATACTAATGCGAGTTCAAACCCTCGGTATCCCTGCATCAGGCGAGAGTAGGCTACAAAATGTGAAACTGTTGTCATTTAATTAGTGTGTTTCGTTTACTGTATCAGAGAGGACAGACTGATTTCCCACGAAACTATGGTATTTTCTGTAATTTTGTTACGGCATCTAGGCAAAACAAGCAAATTGGATCCTTACTTCATCTTACTTATCAGAAGTAGTTGTTCTCATACGTCAAAATAATTTTCTCTGCAGTGTTTGGATTGTCACGACAAAGTAAGATATATACGTAAAAATCTATATAACATTATTGTTTATGGGGCTTTTTTCTTCAAAGTTTACTTTTTGAAACAACTAAGACAGAATAATAAACTTTGTAAGAGGAACATTAAATTTCTTACTAGAATGTTGATCATATTCTAAAATATAATAATATGTGATGCACTGTGGTGAAATCAGGCGCTCGTCAAAATAATGAAGTAAAAGTTTAAAAAATTGGCATTTTTTGGGCCGATGGGCAATTTTTTTCTAATTTTCTTTGTTGTTGTTGGTTTTTTTTTTTAGCTTAATACCCTTTATGTCCATTTTAAAACACATTGTTGTGTGGATTTTACTGAAAAACATTGATTTAAGGCTAAAAAATGTAAATTTTCAGTTTCCAAGAACTCTCAGGCTATGGAAGTCATCAAACTTTGGAGGCCTTTTTCTCGCTAATTTTACTTCTGAAACCACACGAGCTTGACCTCCTTCCGTCGCAAATATTTCGACTTCTATTCAAAATAGATGAATATTTCGTTCACATAAAGGAAGGCAAAAAACAGGCTTTAAGATAATACCAATAACCCCGTATGCCCCAAAACTGACGAGCGCCTGATTCCACCACGTCGAGACACATATATTCTCTTGAATGAATTTTTTCATGTTTCAGGTGAACTTTTTAAGTTTGTGGAAGCACTGTTTGGTAGCTATTCCTTGCAGTATGCCAACGGTCCTGAAGGATGGAGAAGAAGACAGGAGTACAGCCGCCCATTTTCTCACGAAAGACTCAAGAAATACTTACCCGCATTTCAAGAGGTAAATCGGTTTTCCCAAGAGAAAGCAAACAGCTGGAAAAGGGACTTTTCTCTCATGTTCAGTGTATTTTGATTGTATACCGGTATACTGTCCGCAATAAAATACCAAAACAGAGGTCAGGAAAGAATGAGGCCTGCAGTGTGGCAAGGAGAAAGTCACCAACGAACGAACACGGTCCTGGTGACAGGTGACAGGTGATACTGTGGGCATTGGTTTACCATACTTTCACTTTGTTTTAAAGAGTATTATTTTGGCTTGCTCATTTTTTTTATTTCACGCTGTTGCTTTGGAGTAATGAGGAGAGTTGTGTACATTCTCAATTGGAGTAAAATATATATAGTCTTTAATGTCCTCTCTCACTTGTTTCGTGAGTTGTTTATTTTCTAATGGTATTGTCAGACCATGGGCTATTCTGGAACGTTGGGCAAGCCTTCGATCCATTTTCATCAAAAATATTTTTTTATCCACATTTTGTCCCATGCCTTCATCTCCTGAAGGCTATAATTTACGCCGTTTGTCTTATCACAGTACCGTGAATGGCGGGCAAACATAACGTTATAACATTCCAAATGTCCTGTAGCATAATAAGGAGATTGATAACGGTAGCACCGGCGTAAGGAAAAATTTGCTGTCTCTGGGAACAAAAGAAATTTCTCCATGATAGAGTAGCAGTGCCTCTTAGCGTGAGTATGTCCTTCGGATATTTATATTTTTTAAAGTGAGTAGTGACAGCGTTTTGTATAAAAATATGTGTTGTTCAAATGGCTTATCTATGCTTCGCCCATTTACTTTTCCATTAAATTAGTGCTAATACTCGTATGATCTTTCCAGCCTTAGAAGAAACACCATAATATATATTTCTAAGCCATATAAACATGGCGTTTGCTGGTCGTGAGTGACTCCTATTACTTATTATATTATGTTGAATCAGTAACCGCTTCCCTGTGAGCCCAGCTCTTTCCACAAGTAACAGGAACAGGATAATCCTTTTCACAATAATCATCAACTCTACACATCCACGATATATCTTCATTTCTCTATCTGAAGCCCTCTTTAGAAATCACTAATGACTACAATAGAAATACAGTGGAAACCATATATAACAGGCCCGGTAATAACAGGGATCGGGTAATAACAGGGATGTTTAAAATCCCCGTTTTTTTCCTACTCTTTGTCTCTACTAAAAGTTATCGGCAATAACAGGGCCTGATCGGAGCCCAGCCGGTTATAGCAGGGACAAAGGCTCCTTAACAATGTGTAAAAAGTAAGAGAGAGAGAGAGAGAGAGAGAGAGAGAGAGAGAGAGAGAGAGAGAGAGAGGGACAGAGAGAGAGAGAGAGAGAGAGAAAGTGAGAGAGAGAAAGAAAGAGAGAGAGGACGACAGGTCAGCCTAGATCTAAGCCTACTTCTTTCATTATGGTCACCAACGATGTCAAGCGCAAGAGAAAATGCCTTTCAATTGACAAAAATACGAAAAATAAACCAGACTGTTAACGAAAAGTAAGCTCTATTGGCAGAGATTTGTCGTCAGTTCGACATTCCAAAGGGGTCGATTCCCACCATTATCAAGGATAGAGAGAAGATAGTGGCAGCATACTCCTAAGGAAAGTTTACTCTGGATCGAAAGAAGATGAGACTACCCGATGCAGATGCTGTGGACCAAGCTTTTCTGATGTGGTTTAAGGAGGCAAGGAGAAAGTCGGTGCCAAAACCCCTGTTCGTGGGTACTTGTGACAAAGGAAACTACCCATGAATAAGTACAGCTAGATTAGTCCACACATGCTTACTTTCCTTGCATTTCGGATTTAACAGGGATCGGATATAACATGACTTTTTCTCTACTCCCACCATCCCTGTTATATCAGGTTTCCACTGTACTTACCCTTGGCTTTGTCTTGTCATGGAGCAAAACTCGGCTTTTGTTATAAACCCAAGCCTGCCTTTTGTAGGGGATGGAGAGTCAACACATTTATGTTGACACTGGGGAATCGCCGGTAGAGGCAGAAGTGATAAACATCCTTGGTGAGATGGGGCACCCTAGGATTCTTTTCTTCCCCCCCAAATAAACAGTCGTCGAAAAGTAGCGCCTTTTGCTATTGTGCTTTTACTCAGAGGTCCAAGCTCAACTAGCAAAGAAGCATTCTCCCTTGTTTGTTACGGTACATTGTCTGGTTTAAGCCTTCTAGTTCTTTTCTCTCAAAAGAAAAAAATGTTGAAAAGAAAGAAGCAGGAATATGAGACAGATTAGATTCCCACTGAAGGGGTTTGTCTAGGCAAAGAGCATAGCGCAAACAGAGGACTGGTAGTGGTAGGTTTTGTTTCATCTTCCTTGTAGTGCAGCACCTACTTTTTCATGGTGCTTCTACATCACAGAGTTATTGAGCAGGTCGTTTTGCATTGATGAGCTATCAGCCCTTAGCCATTATCTAGAGCAATGTCGGTTAGAACAGAAAAATCACTTGAAGGCGAGAGTGACTATAATTGAACAAAAAACCTCTGTGAAACGCTCCGTCACTCATCATCTCATAAAGGAGGGGCTCTAAAAGGTGCTTGATTTATTTGAAGAAAAGGTGAACAATTATATAGTTTATAATGAGTGAAAGAGGGGCCTATTTCTTTATTCTGAACATAATATATAACTATACACCTCTACTGCGTACCTGCACCTTTGTAGAAAGATTGAAATCAAAGGGTTTTCTTTTTGCTTCCACATGTCGTTTGCCCGTTCACACACCGTATCATAGGCTACACCGGGACCTGGGAATAACATGAATTACTATTTGTAACATTTCCTTTCTATTTGTAAAGCTACTACTCTGGCTGTTCTGGAAGACGTTTCACGTGCTTCCGTTGTTTTCAATAAATCCTTTTTCTTTGGTACCTTGTAAGGAGTAAAATGTTTTAAATAGTATACTCCGAGACACATATCGGCGCTAATAGATAGATTGGTACATCCATGGCATTTAATTTGTCAGGCTCATTGTCCACTTTTAATACACAGACTAGCATTCACCAGCAAAAATTATTTGTTCGTGTCCTAGGATTCAATGTTTCTGGTATATTTTTCTCTTTGCGTGTCAAACAGCAGAAAACGTGGAGAAGAAGTGGTGCAAAGGTGAGAGTGACCCCATACCAGTTGGTGAGGACATGGCATCATTTTCAATTCGTTCGACTTTGTCAACTCTGATGGGAGACAGTTTCCTTGATGAGAAACTGGTGCAGAGTGTCATTAAAGCCTACAAAACGGTATGAGTACTTTTATAAATTTTTGTAGACAATATCACGTCTGAGTAAAGGAAATAAGTAGATTGCATTCATAAAAACCAAGCTTTTGCATTTGAGAGCTGAAGGATCACGGATTAATTGGTTGTTGCTGTTTTTAAAAATCTTCCTCACTGTAGCTGATGTGAATATGGTACCCGCTTTCATCATAGGGTGCACCTGAGATTGTGGATGGCAGAAAGATAGTTTAGAGTGTCTTTTTACATTTTCAAAATATAGGGCTGAGCTTAAGCAAAAATAAAATCCTTAAAGTTTCGTTTGATGCATGTTCTTCTATAACAACGTTTCCCTTCTAAAACCTTCCAAGTAAAAAGCATGAAATTAGTTGTGGGGTAAAAACACATGCATAAATCGAGTACAGTTAATAATATCATATAGGTGCCTATTTGAACATCTGCCGTGTTGCAATGGCTAGAAAGCTATTTATCCGCTGTTTAAAAAACCCACGTTTGTCTTATGGCAACGTTGAATTATGAACCACTAAAACTGACTACATGTATATGACTGGATTTCCTTATCGTTCTTTAACCAAACGACCTGTTTTCACCATTGCAATAAAACTGACTTGGTTGCATCAGTGCGATCGTAAAATGGTATGATCGTTGACTGGTATTTTTATAACTGTCAGGTATGGATTGAGCTGGAGCGCCGTCTAACAGACTCCGTCCCTCCTGATGAGAACGATTCAAGAGAAAAGCTCTTCTCTGAAGGTAGCCTACAGTACAAGTGACACCCATCCCTTCCCATTCTTTATACCCATAAAATTGTGTTGATGTCTGTCTACTATGCGTTAGTTAATGACTTGGTTGGGGGGGGGGGATTAGAAAGAGAATGCCTCTTACTTGATCAGGCAAGACATATTAATATTTTTCGGGAGCTCTAGACTAATCAAGAATCATGAACAATGGAATGTAGATGGTCGTTATGATTGTGTGCCAGATGTATAAATACTGGGTAAGGGTAGGGTCGGTGTGGAATGGGAAAAATCGGCTAGGCTTTAAACATGACAAGATCGTAAGATAAAAATGTGATTAGGAAGCGTAATTCTACCATGTGTTTTGATAATGGTTTCGACTTTTTTCCTCTGTCTTAGCTCTCCAGCATCTGCACACGACTGTGAAGGAGGTTGTAGAACACCGACAGGAGAACAAACTCCTAGACCAGCAGCTTCTGATTGATGTCATCCTGCAGTATACGACAGATGAGGATATGCTCATTTCTGACATTATACTTTTTATGGTTGCATCTTTCCACACATCTGCCAACTGTTAGTAGTTGTGTCATTTCTGAACGTGTTTATTAGTCTACGTTTCTCCTTCTCTACATTTAGTTGTACTTTTCGTATCAGTTTATGTTTTATTGATATGTAGGTGGTTGGCGGGTTCTCTGGTGTGGTTTGCTTCTTCTTTCCTGTCAAACATCTGTCGTCCTTATCTCTCCTCCTTTTTGTGTTTGTTACTCTCTTGTACGGTAATACGTGTCTCTAATCCTTTTTGTATTGCAAGTGCCGTAAAACTGTTACTGAAACAAACAGTTTATTGATATGATTGACTGTGGTACAAGCAAGAGAAGGAGAGGAGGGATGATGGGCGGTTATTCCATAGCATGGAAGTTTCCATAACAGAGCTCTCCATCTGCGTGGCTCAATGTATCTGGGATAGCATTACGATCAGACTTTTTAAAATTTAGCCTGTTGTGTTGACAGCCCAATAGGATCGTCTTATAATGGTATGTGCCATTTGAGAAAGCATATCTGCTTTTCGTATGTAGTTGATTACGGACCCCTCGCTGTTCTTACTAATGCTGCATGGAAAGTCCTCGTTTTTTCAAAGGGCTTTTGTATTGGATGATTACATACGCAGTCATCATATAATATAGAAAAAGACTGAAAATGCTAGCTCAAATTTTTAACAGAATTATTCATTTCACGAGGACTTTAAAAAGTAAATAAGGTAAAAATAGTCGTCAAGCAATCTCATATTACAATTTGTAAACATGTGCAAAACACAACACATACTAGTTCTTCTTTTTTTCCAAAGTACCAGTCCCACCATAACCAGCACACGTATATCTGTGATGTCACATTGCACACGCGGCACTCAGTTTGATAAAAGTTTTACGGCGCTCGCAACTACATAGAGGAGTGAACAAAGCTATTAGTGCATGGAGTTGTACGGTTTTTACATGCAGAAGGAAAGAATCCCTCATAAGGTGTACATTACGAAAATAGTACAAAGTGTGAAAAAAGGTATATCCCTGTTTAGTTTGTTTAAGACTAAAGAGTCAAATCTGGAAGATGAGTCACACGCTGAAAGAAACTTGGGTGTCTGAGCAAGGGCATTAAACTTCGACCCAACACGTCATTCTCCACATGAAGAATCTGACTAAGGACTGGATAAATACGTATGGCTGGAAGAAATTGCTACATCTTCCATAGAGTCCATCAGGATTTCATCTCTTTTATGCCTGTAAAGCAACATATGTTATGAAAAGGCTTTGCAGATGAAACTGGCGTTATGCAGAAGTTCCTGATTTGCTGCATTCTTTTGAGCTGAATGCTTTCAAGAAGAGCATCTCTACTTTGATGAGCTGCTGTGGGGAAGTGTATAAATGTTTTAGGAGAATTTGTTGAAAGGAAGCTGGATGGTGTTACTACGTTATTTGTAACTTTCGATCCGGACGCCTATTTTTTATAGATAATATAACCCACTTTTTTTCGGTACCATAATCCTCGGTATGCTGTTGTATTAGCTCTCATTTCAGGACAATGGGATCTGCTGCAGGTGGTCGGTCCGTTCTCTTCAGCGGATGCTGCTTTTACTTCTAATTGTGCCTTGTTTGCTACTGTTCTAATCTGCTTCCTGACAAAACAAAAAGTGACTTAGCTTTCGCTACTCAAAAACTCAACTACGATTTGAGTTCTGCAATTATGTTCAAGTGGTGTGTCATGTCCTTTTGCACCAACTTCATCAAAATCAGCATTTAAAATCTGCCTTACTCTTGTTACAATGTGCGTCGTTACTTGGTATCACGATTTTCTTTAGTTGTGGGTGCCCCCGGGTTCAATCGCCAATGAGTCGTTCTTTACCTGCAGTTGTTTAGGAAGTTTTAACAGCTTTCTACCTATTAACCCGCCGTACCGTAGATAATATGTGTCACGACGCAGTGGAATCAGGTTCTGGTCAGTTTTTGGGCATATGCAGTTATTGGTATGGTCTTAAAGCTTGTTCATTTGTCTTGCTTTCAATTTTAAAAATTAACCATATGTCCTCAATAGAAGTCGAGATACTCCAACTGAAGGAGGTGGGGGTCGCCTGATTTCAGAGGAAAAAGTAGAGAGAAAATGGCCCCCAAAGTTTGATGAATTCTACAGCTGGAGAGCTACAGGAACTGAAAATGTATATATTTTGCAACTTTAATCAACGTCTTTCAATATAAAACCGACACAGAAATGTGTTTTTAAATGGAGAGAAAAGACGTTTAGCCAAAAAACACTTTTAAAAAAAAAGAAGAAAATTGCCGAACCGATGGAAAATCGACAGTACGAGCGCCTGAAGATATACACGCTGCCTCACATATGTACATTAAATTCAGCGGTTCATCCTCTTTAATAATCACATTAAACGGGGCGCTAAAAACACTATTACCAATAATTTTTTAATGTTCTTCTTAAACCAGGGTATTGCATTGGAAAATAGGCAAAAGGAAAAAAATGTGCTAGAAATTGTTCTTAGAATTCAGTTAAATAACACATTTTAATGTTATCATGTTTGGCAATAGACTTCTTTGCTTAGTCTTACCGAACTTGAGCAATGACTTTTGAGCGCACTTTGATTCTCTCTACATACCACTTTGCCTGTGACCTTCTGTCTCATGTAACCTTACTAAAGTAAAGAAAAACTAATGTACTTGGTGTTTCACCAGTGTTGACATGGGCCATGTATTTCCTGGCCACTCACCCTGACGTTCAGAGCAAGCTGCACTCGGAGATTGTCCAAGTCTTGGGCCAGAAAGGCGCCGTGACAGATTCCAACTTCGGCCAGCTTCGGTACCGTTTTATTATTATTATAGCTTGTTGTTTTAATAGTATCAGAGTAATGAAATACTTTTAGGACATGAATGGAAGCGATTTTTTAAAGTGGCACATTTTGATCACCCGAAAGTTACGTTTTTACTGTTTTGAATGCTGTGTAATGCAAATAGTTTTTTGGTATTTAAATTAATGAATGGAGAACATTGATGGCCGATGTTTGCCGAAGATATGGCACTTGATGATGATGATGATGATGATGATGATGATCATGATGATGATGATCATGATGATGATCATAATGATGATGATGATGATGATAATGATGATGATGATGATGATGATGATGATGATGATGATATCATGATGATGATCATGATGATCATGATCATTGTATAAAGAAGGTATTAAGGTATTGAGAAAGCATATCATGATCATGATGATATTATATATAAATCGATTTTCCATCCTTGAGACTATCTCCTTTCGAATTGCACTCTCTGCGACTGTGTTGATTACGAGTAACCTAAAATGTAAAGGAAAAACAATCATCTATATTTGCCTGCACGAAATATGGCCGTTATTCTGCCTTTATTTTAATTCTTTCTTTTTAAATATGATTTCTATAACAGGTACCTCCAGCAGGTACTCCAGGAAACGCTGCGCTGTGCTGTTGTGTCTCCGTGGGGCGCCCGGGTCCAGGACGTCGACTCTGTGCTTGGTGGACACAAAGTTCCCAAAAATGTAAGACTGGAATGTTATTTGCATTTGTCCATCAGTGTTTCCCTATAAGAGACCTGAGTAGAACTGGGACACCAAGTCATGTGAACCTTTCAAATGAAGGGTTTCACGATAAATGTCTGTTTTAACGTTACACTTGGATTGTAATTTCTTTCTTTGAATGTAAGTGTTTTGACACAACGATTGACAAAATTTAGACCATTTGGGAAGCGGGCTTCTCACCTTGCCTGTCAGGCCCACCTCAGCTGAGAGGGATACCACGACTTAGCAGAAAAATTGAGATATTCGGTAACAATTTCTCCCCACTCGGTAATCGAACTCTGGTCTCCTGCGTGCTACAGCCGGTATATTGTAATCGAAAGCTTTTGCATTTAATTCCCTTGATGACGGAGTAAAACATTATATTCTTTGGAAACTAATTACCAATTCTATATCCCCTAGTTCACCCATCTGGAAATGTATACTTGGTTATTGGGTGTAACAGACAGTGTCTATGCAAAAGATTTGCTACAGGTATGTGACTAAACAATCTGAAACTCTGTATTTTACATCGGGGCTGATGTGGTAAATCGCAAGCAATGTCTAGAAGACTTATCTTGAAGTAATAAAGCATTTTTTGGCTAGTGTACATTGTTATGCTCCTTACATGTACTTTATTCTAGTTTATGCATGTCATTACTGAGCAAACAGCTGATGTATCCGACTGTCTGGGATGACAGAAAAAAGCTAAACACTTCTGCGGGCGATCGCTACGTAACAGTAAGTTTATAATGGGATTAAGCATCAGGGTCACCATGTGCGAACCCGACAGTTGCAACGATGGCAATGTATTTCAATCTATGTCAATTTAAGAAAGAAAAATTAAATCACCTCTGAGTACCAAGTCAGTTCTAACTCATTTCTCTCTGTTTGTGTCTTTCAGACCCCAGTGATTCACGCTCTTGGTGTCGTCTTGCAGAATGAAAAGCTGTGGCCTCTTCCAAAAAGGTAGTTACGTTTTAACGTATCCTTTGGTTAGTAAATCAAGCTTCTTCCGCTACATGTATCTGTTTCCAGCACCTCATATTCAACCGACGAAATCATGAATAAGTAGACAGTCTTTCCAGCTTTGGTAGTTGCCTTGAAACTGTTGTTTTGTTTTTAGCTAACATGTTATTAATTTTGTAGAGCTTTATTAGTGAAAAGAAGACTCGTCTGTTCGCAGAAAGAAGTATCATGTCTGAATGTTTAATCATATTATTATTATTTTTTTGGTTGTATTATATTTTGTCTCGTCCTGTCTGTTGCAGGTTTGACCCTGATCGCTTCAGTACTGAAAATAGCAAGGATCAACCGACATATGCATTTTCCCCGTTTGGATTTGCTGGCAAAAGAACTTGCCCAGGATATAAATTCGCCAACAGAGGAAGCACTGTGTTGATAGCCACTCTTATCAAGAAGTAAGTACGATAGGGACCTTGATTGGCCTTGGTCAGGTTTTTTGCTTCTTTGCTTTTGTTTTCTGTTCAGATCGGGGTAGGGATGAGGGGATGGTGAGAGGAGGAGCATTTGAGTAACAAAATGAATGTTTGTCAGTGTAATGTCTAGTATATACTTTGTTTTTGTCACACTTTGAGTAAAACTGATACAACGAAGGGAATTTTTGTCTATGCTTTCACTCTGTAGGACTACAGTTAACATTGAATTTTGTTTTGTTTACATTTTAAAGAAAAATGACGCAGCCCTTGTTATTAATAAAACTCAGTATTATTGAGATTCGTGAAATGGTGTAGGTTAAACGCCCCCTTCAATACTATTAGGTTATTTAACAGGCGGGACCTCGGAGTTTAACGACCATCTCCGATGGCACCGAGCCAAATGTGAATTCGTTTAAAGCACGCAATGTGACAACGTCGGAGAGAACTGAGGCTCGGGTACCCGAACCCGCAATTTCACGATTATATTACGGGTCCTGTAGCCTAAACACAAAACTGCCGATGCCACTCATTCTTCAGGGAATGACTAACAAGAAACTCCCTTTGACTCTTTCTGGACCTTACTCTAGTCTTGCACTTTTTTTTTTTTTTTACAGGTTTGAGGTGAGCATGTGGAGTGACCAGGTGGTGAAGCCTGTCTTTGGTTTAGTCACCCGTCCACATGAAGAAATCTTGCTCAAGGTGTCCAGAAGGAAATGAACAGACTGGCAGCGAAAATTTTGCTCGTCAAACTTACAGCTGATGTTTTTGTGTTTGTGTTAGTACAGGTACTTTTTAAAAGAATGTCTACTTTCCTTCCTGGCTCAAAATGGCGTTTGTATTGTCAGTTCTCCTGAATACCAAGGCCCTATCCTATAGCTCTGCTGCTGCAAGTATTTCGACAATTTAAAAAAACATTCATGTTTTAAATAAAGAGTTGTTATCAACAAAAAAGCCCATGAACCTTGTTTGTTTGTTTGGCTGTTTGTTTGGGTTTTTTTGTGTTTTTTGTGTGTTGTTTTTGTTGTTTTGTTGTTGCTAGTTTTATTTGATTGGGAGGGGGGTAATTATATTAGCTTTACAGTAAGCCTACTTTTGATACAGCATCCCGTTTGAATTCAAATGATCTTGTTTGAAAAGTACTGTAAGAAAAAACAGATTTTCCTGAACACCAGCTGGGTCCGACTATGTCAGTGCAGGATTTCTGAGGAATTCACGACATCAAAATATTATCTTTTTCAAAAAAGATAGTTTACGTTTCTATTTGAGGCCTTCGAAAGGCAGTAAACTACGCTGCTTTAAATTTGGGGGGAAGGGAGGGGGGGGGGGGGGGGTAAGCAATGAAATATAAGCGCATGTCTTAGAATCTAGGATCTGTGTATAATAATATATACATTGTGTATTATGCAGTTATGAGCTCAGTGCAGTAAATGACGACTTGCGGTGTTTAACACGTCATAGTATTTGAATCGAGCGATTTATTCAAGTAACACATAATGTTTGGAATACACAGTCTAGAGTTTTATACTATAGCTTAATTTATACGTTTATTTTTTATGATGCATGGAATTTTTGTGTTTGTGACAAGTGTTTTTGTTATTTGTTTGTTTGTTTTTTCTTCTTCATTTTGGACCCTTCGTCTATATTTCTACTTTAAACTGTTTCATACACTTAATCTAACTTTGTGGTGTGTCAGCAGTATCGTAATAAAATTCACTTTAATAAGTTTTGGGGGTTTTTTTTCACAATAATTATTTCACTTTTTCACAGTTTTTTTGGAGATACCGGTACAAGAAGCAGCACGAGGTCTGAGACTGAGGGTTTGGTGAATCTACGGTCTTCTTGTTTACCTAATGTGTAGTGTTTGTTGCTTTCAGAAAGCCCCCGCCCAGCCGAAACAATTCTGCATACAATATTATTTTTCAGTTTTTGTTAAGTTTCTAAAATCAATTTTAATTTTGGCCTAGTCCCACTATTAGGTAAGTATGTGTCTTACAGCTACCTAGGTATCTTAATAATAATAATGATAATAATAATAATAATAATAATAATAATAATAATAATGATAATAATAATAATAATAATAACAACAATAATAATAATAATAATAATAATAATAATAATAATAATAATAATAATAATAATAATAATAACAATAATAATTAATTGCATTTATACAGCGCATTTCCACAACAAGGAAGTGCTCAATACGCTGTACAATAATACAAAGAACGTATGCAGCGCACAGCTCCTACAGTAACCCTCTTTCTCTCTCACTTTGTCTCTGTCTCTGTCTCTGTCTCTGTCTCTGTCTCTGTCTCTGTCTGTCTGTCTGTCTGTCTGTCTGTCTGTCTGTCTGTCTGTCTGTCTGTCTGTCTGTCTGTCTGTCTGTCTGTCTGTCTCTCTCTCTCTCTCTCTCTCTCTCTCTCTCTCTCTCTCTCTCTCTCTCTCTCTCTTCCTCTCTCTCTCCCTCTTCCTCACTCTATCTCTCTATCTCTATATCTCTCTCCAGTACATCTTTAAAGAGTACAGTGTGTACATGGAGTATCCAAGTTCTTCATCCTTGTCCAAGAGAGATGAACGTTCAATCCTTTTTACCATACTAAAAAAAAGAAACTCCGGAGCGCGGGGCACTTCGTTAGATTTTCTGTGTTCTCTTTACTGACATGTCATGTTTCATAGGGCGTTCTGGCGTCAAGCTGGTCTACGGAGTGGGTGGACCTGGTTTCAATCCCCACGGGGTGCTCTGGTACTTGGGTTGTTTTGGGGAGTTTTTGAGGCTTTCCACCCTCTTGGCTCGGTCTTATCGGAAATGAACTTTTAGTTTGGAGGTCCCGCTTATACAGTGTTGAAAGCTACATTAAATCAATGCTTAATTTCAGATAAGACTGCATTCATCCAACATCAAAGAAAATTTGTTGAATGCTAGTGGAAGAATGTTTTTAATAATAATATTCAAATTTGAGCTTGCAGCTGTCTATGGTCCAAGAGCAAAGTGGCAGTTTCAGTAACGTGTGTGATTACCTCTGGCACCTGTCACAGCTTCACATCGTCGACGCATTAACTGAATGGAATGAGTTATTGTCTTTTGGGGGATGCTGTTCCACTCTTGAAATAAGGGTCGTGTTAGCTAAGCAAAGGCTCGGGGCTGACGAGGTATGGAAAGAATGACGCGATCTAAAATGTCCTACATGTGCTCAATTGGATTGAAATCTGGTGAAAGCACTGGTCACGGGTGCAGGAGAGGAATGTTGTTAACTCTGATAAATTTGGTAGATTTGCCACAGAAGCTTTTTGAGCAGGTGCATTATCATGCATGAATTCGTGCTGTCGGGTTTCATTTTGAAAAAAAAAAAGGTACAACACGTGGCTCGAGAACTTGGGTGATGTAGCCTCCCATTTGCCGTGCCCCTATCCTCTAGGCTCATGACGCTTTCCGCAGCCCTTCTACTGCACCATTGACTCCTTAATTCTCGAGGTCACTACTGTCTTTCAGCTACATCTCTGATTATGGTAGATCTATACGGTAATATCTAAACATACAGACTTCTAGGATAAGGGCGAAAAAAAAGTAGCGCACGTTAAAGATCCTTCCTTGGTGATCCTATAAAATCTATGCTTCGGCCGCAAACCGGACAAAATTCAAAATTAATTCCTACTGAACTGAAAGGCTTTAAAATAATGCTCATATCGCCGTTGCGAGCGACGTAAAACACCTTCCCGGATTTTCCGAGAAAAAACCCCCGCTTTTTTCTCTCCACCCCTTCTCTTTGTGGTCTACACCCACCCTGTCTTCTTCCTATTAGGCCTAACAATTTTGTATCGATCTGGTCCACACGGAATTCTCTCTCTCTCTCTCTCTCTCTCTCTCTCTCTCTCTCTCTCTCTCTCTCTCTCTCTCTCTCTCTCTCTCTCTCTCTCTCTCTCTCTCTCTCTCTCTCTCTCTCGCGTTTTCTTTCCCCTCTTTCTCTCCGCCTCTCATCTGTATCATCATTTTCCTTCCAGTCTTCATCCTCCTCGTAATCTACATCCTCCTCCTCCTCCTCCCTCGCTTCCCCTCTTCCCCTCTTCCTCCTCCTCGATCCCTCCCAGCTCCTAATTCTCCCCATCCTCGTCGTTGTCGTCGTCGTCCTCCTCCTCCTCCTCCTCCTCCTCCTTCTCCTTACGAAATCGCATATTGCACTTTCATTATACATGTAATAATATTATTATTGGGGAATGGAAGGCGCTGCAAACTGCTTTACAAAAAAAAAGGATACTTTTATGTCTGCAGAGTGATATACCTGTACGATCAACTTACAATGCCCTGTAACACATTGTTTTGTTACTACCCTTGTCCTTGCCTCTAAAAACAAGCTGCATGTAGATCTATATTTGTGGGCCCTATTTTTATTTTTACAGCAAAACTTAAGTTTGTTTTCAATGCATGTTCGGCCTATCATTATTGCAAAAGTATGCCTAATTTTGTTGATGACCCAATATAATCCCATAGGCCCATACTATAGGTCTATATAGGTCTATTATTTCCGGGGATAAAACAAATTTACAAACAAACGTTTTTCATGCCTACAGTGTTTGTTAATATAAAAGTAATATTTTTTAGAATTATCTTGAAATATTTGAAAAGTGCTCCGAAACTCTGCATAATATGGGAGAGTAGCAACATTCTTTCCTCCCTATTACAGTTATAAAAGGAAAAATATACTAATGAATTATGAAATACGCCCCAAACATTACATGGCTCTTTCTCTTTGTAAGTTTGTTTTAGTTTTGTTTCAGTAGATCTAATGTCCACGATCAGAATAAATACATGTATTCAGAAAGTATTTTCGAGATGAATCACTGAAAAACAAAGTTACGATTAAGATAAAAATTATATTGATATGACCCATAGATGTACACTATAGACCTTATCAGTTCTCAATAATCTGATTTTTCTTCTTTTAGTCTTATTCTTGGAAGCTAAAAAAGAATAAAACATGCCTTCTAACGTTGTTTCTAGTAAAACGTATAACATTTTGATTTGTAAATATAAAATCAGAATCAGCATCAGCGGTTTCTTCGTAAATTTCGACGAATAACATTTGAACAAGGGAAGCCACTCTAAAATTATTAATTTTTTATTATGTTCTCCACTGTCGACCAAGTTGGGACGGTGAGCTCAGCTGCAACGTAGCAGTACTGTGGTCGAGTCAGCTGAAGTTGGCTCGTGAGCGGACGCACCCCATCCTTGTTGTTTTGAACTGTCTAGCCTATCCTAAGATGTTGGACTTTGTGATCTTTGCAGTAACATTTCTTACAGTTTTGCTCGTTGCAATAATATGGCTCTATCCGGTACGTATGCTTTTCATCATCCAGTGTGCATTCACGTCAATTTTTCCCCTTCTTACCCTTACCTGAGCTGCAGGAACCTGGAAGTGTCAGAGCGTTCCAGTCCCAGACAGTCTCAGTAAAAAAACAAAAACAAATTTAGATCTGACCACCTCTATTCTCACCCGGAGTGAGAATAGTGCAGGCGAGTCTTGTGGCTATTCTCACCCGGTGCGTGTTCACCAAATTTTGCATTCACCCTAAACCACAGAATTCTACACTGTGATAACAGAAAAATTGTAGAATTCTGTGCCGTGAACAAACGTTCCATTACAACTGTAGCCTACTAAAAGCGTACAATTTTGTCTGTGGGCAGTGGAGAGAGAGAGAGAAAGAGAGAGAGGAGTAGCGCGAGAATTTCCGGGTAAAACAAAATGGCGACCCGCGTAGTCCGGCTCGATTCGAAAAGTTAAATAGCCGTAGCATCTTTGTAGACAACCAAATTAATTTACTTTTGTGTTTTAACATCATTTTTTAACTTTGTTTTGGTCAATTTGATCGTCCACACCGATAGACAGTATTCAGAAAGAGACAGAGAGAGAGAGAAGAGGGGAGGAGTTGATCTTGCGAGAACTTCCGGGCTGGTGAGAATAGCCACTTTCTTTTGGAATACTCAAATACTGTCTATGACAGTACTGATCAAATTGATAAAAGCCAAGAAAAAATTATGTTATAGCACAAAAGTAAGCTAATTTGATCGTCTTCAAAGATGCTATGGCTATTTCACTTTTCGAATCGAGCCGAACTACGCGGGTCGCCATTTTGTTTTGCCAGGAAGTTCTCGCAAGATCTACTCCTCCCCTCTCTGTCTCTCTCTGTCTCTTTCTGAATACTGTCTATAGGTGTGGATGATCAAATTTTCCAAAACAAAGCTAAAAAATGATGTGAAAAAACAAAACTAAATTAATTTGGTTGTCTACAAAGATGCTACGACTATTTAACTTTCCGAATCGAGCCGAACTACGCGGGTCGAAATTTTGTTTTGCCTGGAAGTTCTCGCGCTACTCCTCTCTCTCTCTCTCTTTCTCTATCTCCACTGCCCACAGACAAAATTGCACGCTTTTAGGCTAACACTAACAGTAGTAGATCTAGAACGTTTGTTCACAGCACAGAATTCTATAATTCTGTTATCACAGTGTAGAATTCTGTGGTTCAGGGTGAACGCTTCTCTGGTCGGCCTAGGCTATTTAACGGTGAACGCCTACCGGGTGAGAATACCCAAAAGACTCGCCTGCGCTATTCTATGAATAGGTGGCCATCTAGATTTATAAGAATCTAGATCTAGTCTAGATCTAGATCTTTATATAAAGATCTCTAGATCTAGATTCTAGATGTAGATTCTAGATTTAGTTTCAGTAGCCTATCTACACAGAATTCTACACTATCTATAAAAACAAGATGGTTCACTTATCCGAAAAAGTTTAAAAAGTGATCTGCGGAAGTCCACTCCCTGCTTCAGATGGCGCTGCAGTCTTTGTTTTGAAGCTGTCTTTCGTTTCTCCAGAAGAAGAATAGTAGATAGCACCCCTTTGCGTGCACAGATCAATTGCTGTTTAGCAGCTGTTAGGGGGGACTCTTAGCCCTGGAGAAGTGGTCCCGCCCCAACTCCACTAGATCTACGTTAGGCCTCATGTACACTATCGAAAACTTAACCGGAACTTACCTTTAAAAAGGGGGGGGGGTTGCAGGGGAGTCAAGGTGAATGAGGAAACAGCACTGGAATGCTGGTGTGAAAAATAGATTCCTAGCAGGGGTTGTCCAAATGAAGGGCGAAGGCGGGCACAGTAAAACAGCCGCAGTCGACAAGGTCTCGCTAGCTCAGCGTGCGGAACACGACTTTGATCCTCTTCTCGTGTGCGGAGCCGGAAACACTCGACAATTTGAAGAAAAAAAGTCGTTCGAGGAAACATTGGAGACTGGAAGAAGGCCCAAGTAGGAAGAGGGGTTGGAGGGTGGGGAAAAAAAGAAGACTTGAAAGGGAAAAGGTAGGAGGTGAAGTGAGCCAGATCATTATTAAATTGCAAACTACTTTCAGGGTGCCGTTATTGTAGCCTGCAAACTATGTTCACGGCGCTGTGAGCATAGTCTCTGCGTTTGTAATTAGGTTTGATGATCTCTCACTCACTGCATCAAAAATCGTCACGTGTGTCGAAAAGTAATCGTTTAGAACCAGAAGAAATCATGGGTGTAGCCAAAACCCACACTACATGACCGTTGGGGCCAAAACCGGATTATCCCGTCCTTTGAGCCTGTAGCACAGCTAAAGAAAAAAACCAGCAAAAAATCGAACAAACGTTATACATGATGAATATATATGACTCCTGAACTCATAGCTCTGAAACATCTATGTCGATAGATCTCTAGTAGTTTTTGTTGTTGTAGATATATATAAAGTGTTAGTGTTGGTTGAGTTTGTGATCAAGGCCAAGTTTTAAAATCTGAAGACTAAAATTACTTACAACCTACTAAAAATATTAGCAGAGTAGAGTTTGTTAAAAAGTTCAAGTTTGAAAATTGAATTGATTTTTCAGAACATGATAAAGTTTCATCAGAAAAGGCCTACTTGATATAAAAAGAGAATGTTACTGAAACAGGACAGTTAAAAGCTATTAAAAGCCAAACTGCAGGTTGTCCGAATTTGTTTCGTCGACCCCCGCTTTTAATGTAATTACAGTATAATCCGCTTACATGGACATGTTCTGGGAAATGGATTTGGTGTCGATATGTATATAAAATTGTCGATAAATGAAATATTTAAAGCCAAAGAGGAAAAAAACAAGGGGAGGTTAGAGGTAAAAAGAAAATACTACTTTTAAAGCTGGTTGCTTCCCTTGATTCTTACACAACTACACAGTGAAACTAACTAGAGGCAGAGCGGAGTGGGGGTGAGTCATGGAACCAAAGACTGAGCAACGCGAGGCGCACTGTACAAAAGTGCAAACTTTGTTTTAGCATCCTTGTATGCCTGTTTGTGGCCGCTTGCTGGGGAAAATGGAAAGGCGAGGCTCTGACTCGCTGATCGTGGCCCTTGCCAGCTACAGACTGAGAATGGGATGGGGAAGGGAATGAGTGATCAGGAGGGGGGTAGGGAGGTGATGCCCAGTGCTCCGAGACGCTCACGTCTGTGAAGCACTGTACTGTGTTGGAGACTACACTGTGTAGGCCCTACATGATGACCTACAAAAACCTGGTGTGTCGAATAGAGGCTACTTGGCGGGTATGGGGACTTAATGAAGAACTAACGTGTTGACGGTTAGTGTGGCTTATTCCCCCCATTTATCATGTTTGTGAGCTTCGCCAGGTACCCAGGAAGCTTGTCGATTGCAGAGTGGGCCGAAAAAAAGTTGATAGAGAGGAATTGTTAAGTGAAAATATTGTAGGAACATCGTAATTGGAATATATGCCGATGTCAAAATGATGATACATCGGCTGTCGATATAACTGGATTATACTGTAAATGTAATCAAACTTAACCTGTTTTTTCTTTCCTCATCCTCACTTTCGTTATTTTCCTCTACTTCTATTGTATGTTTGTCACTCTCTTGTGAACTGCTATTTCCGGGGTGCCTTGATAGTTGAAGCAGATTTGTGCTATTGAGGCTAGAGAGGTGAGCAGAGTAAGCCTGATGCCCTGTTTGGGCTTCTCTGTTGACGTCCACCCCTTTGTGCTTATGTGACCTTTACTTTAATGCAGTTGCCAGCGCCATAAAACCTTACTAAAATTTTAAACAGAACCCTACCACTTCCCCCACACCGGAATCAACATTTGTTTAGAGGTGCACTTGTTCTCTGCTCCTTTATTTAAAAAGCAGCGTCACACACTTGATAAAAATCAAAAGTTTTAGAGATTATATTCTGATTATGATTAAATTATTTGTGCGTGTTGAAAAAATTCAGCATTTTTATATTTTGCTAGCATTTTAAGTTTGATGCACTATTTTCTATCTCTTCAGTGTAAATCTTTAAACTGTCTGAGAGACATTGGGATTCAGTATTTCCAGACGTTGCCTTGCTTGTCAGTACTGTTCAACATTCAATGAACTAGGTGCATCACATTGTTACAATACAGATTATTATTTACTTAGCCAATGTGATGAGGCTAGTGTGCTTTGGATAGCTGAACAATACAGTGTCAACAGAAAATAATAGAAGCACTATTGTATATATGCATTATAATCTGTTTTTTCCTTTGCCTAGGGAGGTGTATCGTTTGTATGCCTCTCTTAAGATTAAATTAAGCTCTCAAGTATACAACTGTCAAAATAAAAATATACATCGCATTATCAAATCCAACTTTTGTTTCAGAGCTCGAAGAAGGTCACCACAATACCTGGTGTTGATCCATCAAGTAAAGAGTAAGTATTAGATCCACTATTATTATGGAGTTTTTACTACCCTTTTCTTTTATCATATTTTATGTTGTGTACAATGTCTTTCTTACTGCGCGACAACTTATATTACAGTCAAACATGGGAAACTTGAATTCATCAGGGATTGGAAGTAATAGTCTGCAGGATTTCCGTAATTCAACATGTTCATGAAAGCCCCAAGTACAAAGAAATGAAGAGAAAATCAAGGGAGGTAAAAAATAATGTTAAAACAATTGACATGGTTAGCTCCCTTTATGAACATGTTGACTGTGTGAAAGCAAGAAGATGAATGAAAGTGGAAAGCAGAAATTCTCACTTGTGCACTGCAGACTCCTACATCATTCCTTTCCTCTCATTGCAATGGCTTACAGAAAGTTAGACCTCTTGTCATCTGCACTGTGGGCGTCCCACAGCATGATTGCACTCGTGGCCAGCCAGTCAAGTGGTGTGGTCAGCAGTCAGCATCACTCCCAACCCCTCTTCCCCGTTCCCCCTTATACTTTGTATTTGTGTCATTTTCAAAGTCTACATAATACCCCTGGAGGCTCTTGTGGTCAAAAGGTACAGTGTTTGCCTGTCATTCAGTATGTCCCAGATTCAAAACTTGACAGCAATGGAAAATTTTCTTCTCTAAAAAAGTGTTCTCCTTTCACCTCCTTTCCTTCTCTCTGTTCATGTTCTGTCATCTGCGCGCTCATATGACCATGTATGCCTTTAACTTTATGCAGTTCACTGTAAAACACTTACCTGAAAAGAAAGTAGATACAAAAATGAAACCTATAATTTAGGTACAGATACAAAGCTGAAAGAGGAACAGGCCAGATTTAGTCAAAAGAATATGATCATACTGACCACCTTTCACCTCTGTAGATCATGACTTTACTTTATAATAACTGATCAATCCCTGGAGTGAATATCGTTCCTAAATAAATCGCATGTTGTAAACTGCATGCACTTTGAGAAAACATTTGATATGCCAAGACAATGGAACATTTCATTATCTTGTAGGAACTATTGTGGTATAAGGGTGTTTCAACGTCAACTTTGTTGTATGATAATTCAGTAAGGTCTGTGCTGATTTGATAACAACTGATGGAAATATTGATGTCAATACATTAGTTCTATGGAAGCAGAGTGGATTGAACAGATATATATATATATGATATATGACGTGGTGGAATCAGGCTCTCGTGAATTTTTGGGCATGTGGAGTTATTGGTATCATCTTAAAGCTTGTTCATTTGGCTTGCTTTGGATGAAATAAATACCCATTTATCTTGAAAAGAAGTCAAGATATTTACGAATGAAGGAGGTGGTGTCACCTGGTGCCTGATGAAAAATTATTGAGAAAATGGCTGCCAAAGATGAATTATTTCTATAGCTTAACAGTTCGTAGAAACTGAAAATTTAAATTTTTTGTGCCTTTTCTGTAAAATCTGCACAGAAATGTGTTCTTTAATGAGCCTAAAAAACAAAAATTCAATAAAAATCCTCAAACCTGCGGATAAATGCCAGTTTCTTCACTTTGATTGTTTTGACGAGTGCCTGATTTCACCACGTTGCCTCACATATGTGTCTGGATCGATAACAACAACAACAACCTCACGTGTGCAATTACATGGTGGAATCAGACGCTCGTCAATTTTTGGGCCTGTGGAGTTATTGGTATCATCTTATACCTTGTTCATTTGTCTTGCCTTCGAAGGAAAAAGTACCCATTCATCTTGAATAGAAGTTGAGAAATATGCGCAGTGAGGGAGGTGACGATAGCCTTGTTTCAGAAGTTAAATTAGCGAGAAAATTGCCACCAAAGCTTGGTTATTTCCTTAGCTTGAGAGCCCATGGTAACTGAAAACTTATATTTTTTGTGCCTTTAATCAAAGTTTTTCAGTAAAGTCCACACGCAAATTTGTTCTTGAAATGGATTAAAAAATAATGTGCGGAAAAAAAATTCAATAAAAATTGCCAAACATGCAGAAAAATGCCTATTTCTTCTATTTCATTATTTTGACGAGCACCTGATTCAGCAATGATCAAAGATGTTAAAAAGTTGCTTTCCAGAAAATCAATAAATTCATCGAAAATTGACCAAAAACGTTACCCGCTAGACCTCTTAAAAAGAAAGGTTTGTTAATGTTATTTTGCCGGGGCAATACATTTTTATATGTCCTACAGGTGGTCTATCATGGACAAAATTGTATTATATTGCTTTCAGAGATGGCAACTTCAGTGATATCGCTCGTGCAGGCAGTCTGCATGAATTTCTGCTTGACCTACATAGCCAGTTTGGAGACATTGCTGGTTTCTGGTGGGGACAGACCTATGTGGTCAGCATTGCTTCACCTGAACTGTTCAAAGCCCATGCCAATGTATTTGACAGACCCAGTAAGTCATGTCATACATGTGTGAATTTTTTGTGTGTATTCTTTACTGATCGTGGGTGGTTGGCGAGTGCTCTGGTGTGGTTTGCTTCTTCTTTCCTATGAAACGTCTTCTTCTTTTTTATGTTTGTTACTCTCTTGTAACACCTCTAATCTTCTGGTTCTCATATGACCTTATGCAGTTGCGAGCGCCGTAAAACCTATACTAAAGCTAAAGCTCTTTACAGATCTCTTAAATTTTAAGTGAAGCGTTTTGTTAATGAAAATGGGTTGCAACTAATCCATTTTTGCATATGTGCACCAATCAAAGAAAAAAAAAGGGAAAACCTTTTTTCCTGCCGGAGTATTAAAAAATGTAATCGTGGAATTGATTTGCTTTGCCAAAATTACTAGAATTTTAGGATTTAAAGGTAGTGAAAGTAATAGCTAAGGAGTTGCACTTCTTTTGCTTTTGTAAATTCTAATCTTTGAAACTTGTTTAAAACTTACAATGGCATAATCAATCCAATTCTTGTCTCTAAACAAGGTCATGGGTTAACCCATGCTATGCATCTTGTGTCAGAAAACATGTAAAAAATAGTCATTATTAAATACTTGATTTGTTTTGTTTACTGGTGTCAGATTTCAATTTTGTGTCCATAGGAAGTCATTGTATACTTTTTTATTTTGTATTAACCGTAGAACCAGAGATGAGCATGCTGACAGTGAATCATGTTCTGCCTTTAGAAAGTCTGTTGTACTGTTACAGTGAAGTCATTTTTTAATTTTTAAATTTTTTTTTATCGAACTATACTTTTTTTAGAGGTTTATTTTAAAGATAATATTGCTGTTGCACGAAAAATGAACATTTCCTTTTTTTGACCTGGCTTTCTACTGTGACTGAAAGAAAATTTGGTGATACTCATTTTTTTCCCAAAGACACTAAATGGTCAGTAGAAAACTAACTTTGTTCTATTTGTAGATTGTATCTATGTGAGCCCCCCCCCCCCCAAATAGACCCACCTCTTCGGGGGATTAGTACTCTTCGAATAGGAAAAGAAAAAGAGGAAGCTAACGAGTCAAGGGGTGACCCCGAAAAGAGACATATTACTTTACTATGTTTTTTACTCTTTCTGTTTATTGTCTTTATTGTTTTACTTTATTACATTTATTAACTTTTCTTTTCTCCTCTCTCCTTCGACAACCTTTCTTTGACCTGGAGTTGGGACGGGTACTGGTGGGGTGGAAAGCAGAGGTTCATTATCAGCACTGTACTGGATGTGACTTTACGTAGGGAATATCCAGCTACATACATGTATTAAGCATGCACTTATCGGAGAGCCCTATGACTGCGGAGAAGGTGCAGAGACCATTTGCGTCTTGCTTGTTGACAACATTAACCCTCTGGGATCTGCCATACCTTCCCCTGCCCCCATCTCTCGGATGAGAGGACTTGGTTGCTCTGGTAGGAGGGGGGAAATCTAGCTTCCAATTGGTATTATTATTACTATTAGTATTATTATTATTATATTATAATTTTTGTATTTCAGCAACACACAGCATCTATGCTCGTAATAGCGTCTTTCTCTTCTTTATCTCCTCAAACAACTTCTCAATATAATACAATAGACACCAACATACCCATTCATTTTTCTTACAATCTCTCTGTGATGGAGTTGGGTTTTTGTTTGTGGCATTGCACCTACAGCCACTGCTTTATCTCCTACCCAGGGATGGAAGGAAAATCACAGAACCACCAGTTTTAGATGCTATCTATGTGAGCCATTTTATGTTTTTAAAATATGTCTAATATTTTGAATGAATTTTTAATTTTTATTTTCAGCTGAGCTGTTTAGGTTCATTGAACCTCTGATTAGTATGCAGTCTTTGCAGTTTGCCAATGGTTCTGATGGGCGGATGAGGAGAAAAGCTTATGACCGCCCTTTTTCTCATGAAAATCTCAAGAAACATTTTGCTGAATTTCAAACGGTAGGGGCCTTATGCAATTTATCTTTTCTATTTGAAAAGAAAGGGCAAAATAGAATACTTTTTGCTTCTTTTGAGTGTAATTCCTTTGTGCTTACTGTCGACAATTGGTATTCTTTCATTCAGTTTGTTTTAGAGCTTATTTTGACTTATTCATTTTATATTCATATTACAATGCTTTGGAGTAACTTGAAGTGTTGTGCACATCCTGTTTTGGATTTTACTGTTCATTTTATGTCACTTATCATTCTTTGCTCTCTATCCCTCTTCGAAATGTATCACGAAGCTTAGGAATCAGTTGCTCATCAATATTTGGGCATATGGAGTTATTGGTATCATCTTAAAGCTTGTTCATTTGTCTTGCTTTCAATGAAAAAGTTATCCATCTATCTTCGATACAAGTTGAGATATTTTGAATTGAAGGGGGTGGGGTCACTTGGTTTCAGAGGTAAAATTAGAGAGAAAGTGGCTGCGGAAGTTTGACGACTTCCTTAGCTTGAGAGTCATTGGACACTGTAAATTTACGTTTTTTGTTCCTTTCATAAAAAATTTTCAGTAAAAGTCACCCAGCAGTGTTTTTAAATGGATATAAAAGGTGTTGAGCCAAAAAATAAAATTCCATAAAAATAGCCATGTGGGAAGAAATAAGGCGTTTTCTTTGATATTATTTTGACGACTTCTTGATTTCACCATAATGCCTCACAAAAGATGACAATTTTATTGCACTGTACCACAATGGAAGGGCTCAGAATATTTGAGCAGATGTCTGGCCTGCTAATGGAATTGTCAGATGATTTTGAGACTAAACATTATTGAGTATGTTTTTTCAATGGACCATATCTATTTTCTATATTTATGGTGCTTTTAAGATCCACTGTCCACTTATTAGTACATGGGCTGTCCTGTAAAGACAAAATCGTTGCTCACGTTTTTTTTGTTCTGTTTGTTTCAGATTGCAGGAATTGTGGAAAAAAAATGGTCAAAGAAAAGTGAGTCTGACCACATACCACTTGGTGAGGACATGGCATTATTTTCGGTTCGCGCCACTTTGTTGACCCTGATGGGAGACAGTTTCCAAGATGAGAAATTGGCACAGAGTGTTTTTAATGCCTACACAAAGGTATGAACATTTTTTTGGAGCTTTTTTTTTTCTTTTCTGTTATGTATGTAAATCACATCACATTATAGATTAAAAAGGACCTCTCTGTCAATTTACTTCTGTAAAATTTTCTATTTTGTCCTCCTTTCCTGTTCTCTAGTCCTGTTCTGTCATCAGCTTTTATAATCACAGATTACTGAACCTGCAAGCTTTGGTTTATTTCTTTGGTTTTTTCTCTGGCAGCTCTGGATATTATTGTAGTATTCGCAGGGGATAAACACGAGGTAGTAGAATGCTGAAAAATTGTGTTAAGTTGAAAATGCTAGGTTGAGCTGGAATATATATTAAAATAACTTCCTATTGTCATTTATGTTCTATTTTCTCCTTTATTGACATTTCATTAGAAAGAACTTTCCTGTGCCGAGATAGTTACCTTGTCGAAAGGTAATCAGTCCAAGAAGATTGCAAATATGGGCCTCCATAGACATTTTTGCTAGTGTTATATTTAGAACAATTATTTTTCTTTACCCATTTAGATGACTTAGGGCCAAATCTGCCTTATGATAATGTTATTTTTAGACTCTAAGTATGCTTTGACTAGGTTTATTTTTGTTCTTTGATGGGAATATATGTCTTCTTTCTGATGAAAACGACTTTTCTACGAAAGGCAAAAATCATGTTATTGTTGATTGTTCTTACTGGGCTATCAGGTGTGGAATGAGATGGAGCACCGCATCACAGACCCTGTCCCTCCTGGTGAGAACGATGCACGGCAAAAGTCATTTACAGAAGGTAGGCTATCAGTTTTTAGAGGCTTGTCCCTCCGCACCCCTGCTTCCCTTCTTTCTTTCGAAAAACAAAAGTAGATTGAATCCTGTCTTCCATAGGCATATTATGACGTATTAGGAAGCCAAGACCCGTGTGACATCATATGCTGTTTGATTTTGTGGGTCACAAGGACTGTGCGCCAAGTGGCTGAATAGAACATATTCAGGGATAGACCAAAACTCAGTCTGTGTATTAATTGCAATGAGTGTGTGAGTGTTTTGAAGCACATGGTGTCTACTTTTGACCCAATTAGATTTTCTAATTGCTTTTGGTTGTAAAATCTCTTTTTGTCCCATCACTGACCGGATTCTCAATTTTGTGCAATTGGATGCTCTAGTTCAGGTTTATGACACATTCTAATACCTTCTTTCAATGATGGATAATATCTTTTATTTTGAATGAAAGGTGACCTATTTCCTTGCAGCCAGCATATAAATAGTGTTTGATTTTCAACATATTGAAATTTAAAAGTAGATCAAGATTTTAAATTCCTTCTCTTTTTTTTTGTAGGTTTTTTACTATACAGGTTTGGTATTTACTTACTGAGCCATATTTTTCAAGGAGATGGGAAGATGAGATGCATGAGATTTTCCACCAGGTTAAAATGTTCTTTTGTCAGTAGGTCAGCACAGCAGAACCAAAATGATGGCTTCCAAGAACTGAATTATTTCAATGTTTTTTAGAGGTTCAGGGGGCATTGCAAAGAGATTGCCTTTGCTTTTGATCTAAGCGGCGTATTTCAATGAAATTTCACCTACAAAAACCTAGGTCGTCAGCATCTAAATTTAGAGGTTCACAGGGCGTTGCAAAGAGATTGCATTTGCTTTTGATCTAAGCAACGTATTTCAATGAAATTTTGCAAACAAAAACCTAGGACATCAGCATTTAAATTTAGAGTGAATTGTTCTTTTTTTTAAGCCTGCACTAAAGAACAGTGTGTCCGGCTGGTTAAAGTATGGCAACATGACGAGCAGGCTGGTTTAGGCAGCTACGGCTCAAAAAGGGGTAAGGGAAACCATACAAATTTGATTGAACAGTAAACATGAAGGTAAGAAGGGAGTGTAAGTCTACTCCATTTTTTACAAATGATTTAGACTATTTTGCTCTTGTCTAGCTCTCCAGTACCTGAAGAAGACGGTGAAGAAGGTTGTAGAACACCGGGAACAGAACAAACTCCAGGACCAGCAGCTCCTGATTGACGTCATCCTTCAATCTACGACAGATGAGGATGTGCTTATTTCTGATGTCATATCTTACATGGTTGGAGCATTTCACACATCTGCTTACAGTGAGTGGTTGTACCTTTGTGAATGTGTTCTTGTATGTCTTTTTCTGCTTCACAATATTCACCAGTCGTATCATATTTTATTTATCACTAATTTAGTTTTTGTCATTACAACCTAAAATTGTTTGAATCCCCAATACGGAATGTGGGTAGGTGGGGGTGGGGGTGGGGGTGGTTCTTTCACTTTGGTTGTTTGAGGAGTTTTCAGGGCTCTCCACTCACGTAGCTGGATCCTATTGCAGATAGCTTTCTATATAAAGTCTTACGTTAGGACTTGTGCCGAAAAGCACCAACCAAAATGCTATCAGTAAAAATCTCGGTGAATAATACAGTGCTAAGATCCAGAACTGAACCAGTTATTATAGCTTGGAATTCAAACACTATGATGTATCTAGAAAATTAATTTGCCCATCCCTTTGATAACTTCACTGTCTACCTGCTGTTGTTTTTGCTCTCAAGAGGTGACAATGTAATCGGTGGCAGATGGTTGGTAATGCACTTCTTGGGTTTGTCTATTTTACCTCTTTTTCCTTGCATTATGGGTTTTTTTCCTTTAGTTTGCATTCTTGCATAATGTGGCACTTCACTACCAGCTCATTGTGTGCTACTACTTTTGTTATGTAGTATGTTGAAAAGTTGGTTGTTTTCTTGATGCTGACATTTTTTAGAGTAGTCTCTATCTTTGCTGTGGCTTAAATGAAGAATAAATTCTTTAGACATGGATCAAAGTTAAGGAAAAAGAAGGGTGGGGCTACGCACTGATTGGTTGTTTAATTGTAGATCTTTTATGATGTCGCCAACACTCTGCAAGTCAATGGGTTGCTTTTAATGACAAGCGGGCTAACTCAGATTTCGGGGGTTTCCAGAAATCTTGACCAACACCAAAAGTGGGCATTGCCATACCTATAGGAGAAGTTTGGTTTCATTGATGTGTATATTTATTTTGGTTATAGAGAAAGCTCTCCTTGTCTTTTAAAGAAAGTAGAAAGTGAACATTGGGCAAAAATTTTAATTTCGATTTTCTCAAAACAGTATTTTTCGGGATAGCCTCCTTGTGTTTAAAAGCGACCAATTGGGAGATGGACTGCTTCAACCCTGCCTGTCTGGACCATTATAGGCTTAGAGCTATTATATAGTTTCACTGGCTTGGGTATTTCTCCTCTTATAGAGTAAGACATGTTTTTTCATGCTGTAGCTGTACATTTCTTACAGTTGCATTCTGCATTGGACAGAATGCAAAAATATAAAGACAAACTGCTCTCAGAACTCGGCGCAATGGCAAACAATATTATGCTTTACCATAAGCCAGTTTCTTGATTGTTACTGAACTCGCATAGTGATAGCTGAGCAAGCTTTCGTTCATTATATGTACTGTACTGTATGGAACTTTCTGTCTTGTGTAACTAAGCCAAAAGTTTCTAAAATACTGATACACTAATATACCCGATGTTTCACCAGTGTTGACATGGGCCATGTATTTCCTGGCCACTCATCCTGACATTCAGAGCAAGCTGCACTCGGAGATTGTCCAAGTCTTAGGCCAGAAAGACGTCGTCACAGATTCCAACTATGGCCAGCTACGGTACCTCTTCTGATTGTTACATGCAGTGTACATGATTTTAGAAATAGTACTATGCTTTTTAAAAATTATTTTGATGGTTAATAGCAGAATTGATGTGTGGGTGGTTGGCGGGTGCTCTGGTGTGGTTTGCTCCTTCTTTCCTATCAAACATCTATCGTCCTTATCTCCCCTTCTTCTTTTTTATGTTTGTTATTCTCTTGTAACACCTCTGATCTTCTGACACTCATATGACCTTATGCAGTTGCGAGCGTCATAAAACCTCTACTAAAACAAACAGAATTGATGTCATTTAAAAATTGAAACATTTTGTTCAGTAGAAAGGCTTTTTGCATTTTTAAATACTGTGTGGTTTTGAATATTTGTTCAGAAAAGTGAGTGTATAATGATGCTTGCTCACCTGAAGTAGTGTCCAAAAATATTTGTAAAACAGTACCTTTAGTTTTATGTTTCTCATGTAAAATTGAGAATTTTGTTTGCTGTCCTGGTTGCTTGTGGCTCCACTGACAAGCAAAATGCCTGTACTCTTTCCTATTTACTCCTTTAGCCAGTCCATAGTAGGAATTGGGTATTTGTTCGCAAATATGCCCTGGCCACCATTGCCTTGTGCAATTGAATCAAAGACTTTGAGGATGGTAACAGGGACAGTGGAGTTATCGGGTTGTCCTTTGACAAGGCATTAACTGAACGAGTGTGAAGCCCATGCTTTATTTGTACACTGATACCATTCTCAATGCATAAATATATTTTTAAAGAGCATTGTATAGTCTGGCCTGTTCTTAGTATGTTTCTTTTAAGGAAAGCCGAACGAAATTGTTAACCCCAACTGACTTGACTTGTTTCTGAATGATTTTAGTCATCTTTACCCTATTCTTATGCCCTGAGTCATTTTGTACCCCAGGGATTGTATTCTTCTCATTTTAGAATACTTCTAGAGCGAAAATCTCTTTGTAACTTTCAGTATTTCTCAAAAAATCAATTTGACAGACTGATATGCCATGCGTACGGATCGGATTAATGAGTAAACTTCCTCTTTGGAAAGTAGGGCACAGAGTTCCCCATGTAGTATGGATACGATAGTAAAACACGATGTACTGATAAGGTTAATGTAGGTACCAGAAACTAAATTTTCAAAGTAGCTGTATGCCAAATTTATCTGTTCCATTTGAAAGGCCTATATCCACTGAGCATTTTGGTACCATTCCCTTCCGGCGCCGCACCAGCCCCGAAGCGAGCGAGTCGGCTGTATACTGTAGTGTACCCCATATGGGGGGGTCACGTGCTTTCCGAGTCTCGCGGAAGGATTGATGCAAAATAATTCCAAGCTGATTACTTTATTCTAATAGAAAATAAACTGATCTTTTAAGTGACACCTTTTTTTAGCCAGTATTTTACATATTTCGTGTAAAAAATGTTTTTTTGAAAATTTTGACGGTATTTTTAAAGACTTTCTATTTAAACGCCAAAGGCCAAAATTATACCATGGAAAAGGCCGTTCAAAGCTCTACAGTTCTCCGCCAATAAAAAGACGGCATTTAATCATCCCGCGTTCCGTGAAGCATTTGAACACACACGTGTCAATTTTAGAACCGGCCGACCGCGAATTCCGACCACGAGGGGCTTCTCTTTCCTCGGCGATTCTCCAGCTCCTAATATTCAGACATATAAACAACTTACACCATTGTAACAAAGAAAAGCTGAACTTTTACAAGGTGTACGGCATTTGGTGTTTTATAGCAAAAGCGCAAAGAAACTGATCGGAATTACCCCGATTTCACCGATACCCGCGGTCGGAAGGCCGCGAGTGCCTGCGAGGCAGTGTTTACTCTACCTAGTTAATGTAATGAGGAGGCTATTTACTATAATTTACTATTGGTTTTGGATTTATGAATGTTGATAATTAAGCTTTTATGGATTATTTTTTGTGCCTCTTTGATACTGCATTATTGTAGGTTTCACTTTTAGTATTTTATTATTTATATGCTCTCTCTCTCTCTCTCTCTCTCTCTCTCTCTCTCTCTCTCTCTCTCTCTCTTTCTCTCTCTCTTTCTCTCTCTCTCTCTCTCTTCTCTCTTCCTCCCTCCCTCTCTCTCCCTCTCCCTCCCTTCCCCCCACCCCCCCTCTCTCTTTCTCTCTCACTCATTAACTCTTTATTTTCTTGACAGGTATCTCTACCAGGTACTTCAGGAAACGCTGCGCTGTGCTGTTGTTGCTCCTTGGGGTGCACGAGTCCAGGATTTTGATACTGAGCTTGGCGGACACAAAGTTCCCAAAAATGTAAGACTGGAAAGTGCCAGTTAGAATTTGTCTAGCAGGGTGCCACACGTAAAGACCTAGACAGTCTTGAGACATCAAGTCATATCAATGTTTTGTCGATAGGGCTTTTTACATAAATTTCTATTTTGACTTAACTTTGGCTGTTGAAGGGTTGTGGTTTTGATTCCAAATTTGAACTGGTTGAGCATTGCATCCATGCTAAAGGTATGTACCCTTTTTACGTTCACTCGGCTACAAATGGATACTCTGTATTTTTTTAGACTTGTATTGTGTTATTGGTAGTGGTTTATGCCTAACAGACTGCAATGATGTATTTCACTTGGGAGACTAAGGTGGTAAATTTGAATATTTTGGAGAGTAGCCATGAGATAATGTGAGCTTTCTATTTTGGAGGGAATCTCCTCCCCTCTCCTCACACATCCCATGGCTGACTGTTGGGGCACCACTGCAGATTGTGCAACCAGCTTCTTTCACTCTTCTCGGTTCTCAGCTTCCTTTAGTTAGAGTGCTCCAGTCTGAGTCATGGCCACTGTCCACTCTTTGATGTTGTCTTCCCATCTTTTCCGCTGTCTGGCTCTTTGACTCCCTTCTTTCATGTCATGGTAATGTTTTGTCCATTTAAGTTGTAATTTATTGATGCGCCAGCCTTTTACAAATGGCAGTTTTATGTGCGTATTTCCCAGTAGTGGGATGTGAGTTCAAACTTCCCTTTTGTTACTGTTGTCTATGTTTGTGTCCATCAGACTCCAGTGATTCATGCGCTTGGTGTCGTGATGCAGGATGAAAAGCTTTGGCCTCTCCCACAAAGGTAAATCAACATTTTGACTTTTCTACACGCTTAATCACCGTGAGCGCTTTTTGCTGTTTCATCAGCTGTCCCTAATTCCTTTTGAGAAACAAGGGAACAACTGAAGCAGACGTGAAGATTTTACGTCAAGACATGGTTCATAAAGATGGAAAATCCTCCTTGCATATTAAAGGCCAGTGAGGAATAGATTACAGTGATATTTGTATATGTTTTCTATGAGCGGTCCTAAATGGTTTTGCATATTAGTTGGTATCTCCTTTGTAATAAACAGTTCGCAAATGTATTTTTGTCAGAAGTTTTTCCCGTGAATAGTAGACAAATATGTGATACACTTTGTTTTGCCTTGCTTTTCAGGTTTGATCCTGATCGCTTCAGTACTGAAAAAAGCAAGGACCATCCAACGTATGCGTTTTCCCCCTTTGGATTTGCCGGCAAGAGAATTTGCCCTGGTCATAAATTCGCATACAATGAGGCCACTGTTTTGGTAGCTACTCTTATTAGGAAGTAAGTAAAGTTAACCTTGTTCAGGGTTGGATATACCTTATGTCTCTTTGACCTTTTGCATTTAAAAAAAAAATCCTTGTCAGGGGGCATACATGGTTATTGTCAAAGAAAGTTGTCATGTTTTTTTTCTGTACCAGTGTTTTGTTACTGTTCAAAATTTAGAGAATAACTGTCGAATCGTGTAACCAGAGGGCATATTGATGCTTCCACACGACAAGTAAGCGCACATCCACTCATAACGATGGAGATGTATGTGCTCAGGCATCATCATCATCATTGCTTTTCTCACCCTGAGTCAAGGTATAGGCCACGAACAAACACTTTCCACCTTTTCCTATGCTTGGCCAGCCTCTTGATGTTGTTCCGTGTCTTCTCTTTTTTATGTAAATCAATTTGTGTGACTCGTCTCCAAGCTCTACAGGGTCATCCCCTTGATCTTTTACCCTGTGGATTCCAATCCAAACTTTTCCTTGTTATGCAGCTGCCTGACTTCCTGAGTGAGAGCATGTCCAATCTATCGCCACTACCTTCTCTCCCCCCCCCCCCTGACTGGGCTCTGTCTTGTTCTCCTTTACACTTTCTCGTTTGTGACTGTCTGTCCATCTGATCCTCTGTTACTTTCTGAGACACTTGTTCAAGAAAGTCTGGATCCTCTATGCAAGTCTGAGATGAGTTCTATGTCTCTCATTCATGCTATGAGACTGGCTTCATATTTGAGTTGAAAATCCTCACCTTTGTTCGAAGTGAGATATTCCTGGCCCTCTAAATCCTATTCAAAGATATGAAAAGTGCTTTTCTGATGCGAGACTATATTTCTTGGTCAGGCATTCCTCCACCTTTGTTAGTACTGGGCATGAAGGAGGGTATTATACATTCAGTTAAAACTGACAGTTGTCCATCCTCTTTGTGATAAGAAAATAATTCATAATGGAATCTGGGAAAAAATACTTTTTTTGTGATCTGTATATTGCAGCAAAAAAAAGAGTCACATGTGTGTCTTTTATTAATTTCGATATGCTGCTTCTGATTTTGAAAGTGTTTTTGCTATAGAGCGTTGTTTGGAATATTACCTCCCCGGGGCGGTGCTACTGTCTGAAGTGCCTTTAGACCATTTCCAAAGGGTGAACATTAACATGTTCTTATGCACAGTAGAATTGTAAATGGGCTGATTCATCAATGTCATGCTCATAACTGTGCCTGAACCACAACAGGGAACTACTGCTTTTTCTTTCCCAATCCTTGCTGTGGTCATTTTTCCTTTATTTCTTTTGTATGTTTGTCACACTCTTGTGACCCGCTATTTCCGGGGTGCCTCTATAGTTGAAGCAGACCTTGTGCTGTTGAAGCTAGAGAGGTGAGCAGAATAAGTCTGATTCCCTGTAAAGATTTCTCTGTTGACACCCACCCCTTGGCGCTCATATGACCGTATGCAGTTGCGAGTGCCGTAAAACCCTCTACTATAAAAAAAAATATTTAAAAAATAATTATGATACATTCTTGGTAAAATTACTTTTTTTTGTGATCTTCAAATTGCAGCAAGAAAAAGAGTCACATATGTGTCTTTTATTAATTTCGATATGCTGGTTCTTATTTTGATATTGTTTTTGCTATAGGGCTTTGTTTGCAATAATACCCCCCCCCCACCCCCCGGGTGGTGCTTCTAACTGAAGTGCCTTTAGGCCATTTCCAAAGGGGGAACATTAATATGTTCTTATGCGCAGTAGAATTGTAAATGGGCTGATTCATCAATTTCATGCTCATAACTGCCTGAACTGCAACAGGCAACTACTGCTTTTTCTTTCCTAATCCTTACTGTTGTCATTTTTTCTCTACTTATTTTTTATGTTTGTCACACTCTTGTTACCCTCTATTTCCGGGTTGCCTTTATAGTCGAAGTAGACTTTGTGCTGCTGAAGCTAGAGAGGTGAGCAGAGTAAGCCTGAGTCCCTGTAAAGACTTCTCTGTTTACATCCACCCCTTGACCTCATATGACCTTATGCAGTTGCAAACGCCGTAAAAACTCTACTTTAAAAAAAAAGAAGTTTGCAATAAGTTAGTTTATAAACGAAAATTTTATTACCAGAAGGCAGCAGGCAGCCAGCAACTCGCCATCTATTATATTATATATCATAATTTTATTAATATATTATACTAGCTGGGCTCCCGTTCGATGAACGGATTGAGACAGAAGCGTTTCGATTGTTCCCAGTAGAAAGAAAAAGAATTTTACAAAGGAGTCCAGAAAAAGCGATGATGGGCATCAAACGAAAGGATCAGAGTCGAATTTAGCACCAAGTAAAAAAAGAAAACACGAGGCTAGATCTATATGGGTAGCACACTTAAAATAGTGTTCAGTATTGCACGACAATGCGCGATAGTATCGAACGGAAGTACAACTTGAAATAAACAAACCTGGCGGATTTTCTAAAATTACAGAAACAGAAGCGTCGGTCTACAAAAGCGATCGGCGAAATACAGAAATTTAGCTTTTTGCAGCAAAACTGTCTCAAAAACTGAAAAAACGAAGGGCGCCATGATCTGGAGAATTTTATAAAGAATCTTTTGGCGAAAACCGCATGTCGATCGATGAAGCCATTAAAAAGCCTTTTGAATAGCAAAATTCGGCCACCACAAATAGATAGTAGATTATATATTTTGTTCCTTTTAGTCCCAGTAAAGGAGCTCTAGGGAAAACTTGTAGTTGGCTCTTCTTTTTTTAAAATACAGTTGAAACTCTCTAAGACAACCACCCATTGTTGAGGTAAAAAGTGGCAAGGGGGATGTTTTACTCAGTGTCATTGTAATGTGAAAAACATGCAAGGGGGGAAATGAGAAGAGGTTGTTTGTACAGGTGATTGTCTTATACATATGGCCGGTAGAACAGGTTCAACTGTATAATATACTGATGTCTGTGAGACTACTCCAATCTCTTTGTTTTTCACAGGTTTGAGGTGAGCATGTGGGATGACCAGGTGGTGAAGCCTGTCTTTGGTTTAGTCACTCATCCACAGGAGGAAATCTGGCTCAAGGTGTCCAAAAGAAAATGATCTGGTCTGAAGGGAAGAGCTGAATATGGAACTGAGAATGTTTTCCGGAAAAACATCTTATGGGAAAAAGCATGTGCCTCTGAGTTTTTTGTTTTTTTTACTACTTTCAAAGAAGTGGTCCCTTAATGAGTGGAATTGATATTGGTTGGTTTGTATAGCCAGCGACTTTTTCTGAATTTGTGGAGAGGAATACATTATGTTGCTACAGTCTTGGACAACATACTTATATGCTTCTGTTTATGTGAGTAATTAGTTCTTAGCATTTGCTCCAAGTAATATAGCTGTGGTGTTGAATGTGTTGTTACCTTCATAGGATGCTGAATTCTCATTCAGCACGAGAGCTGAATAGCGAGGTGCTATTTTTCCAGTAGTATCCATACTTTTGGAAATATCTGTAATACTCCCAGAGTCATAGTTGTATGATAGTCTTTTTCATTAGTGTTTTTTGGTTTTTTTTGTAGATATATTGTGAAAATGGATTTTGGACATTGAAATATCATTTGTATAAATATTCCTTTGATAAAAAGAGCCTTGTGTAAAATGATCGTTTCAACTGTTTTCAAGGATGCCTTGGAAAAATTTGTGAGAAAAATGTTTAAACAATTTTCTATTAGTTTTTGTTATACTTATGGAAACTGTTTGTGTTATTGTATAATTACTGTGTTGATCATTAACGAGACAGAGACTCGTCATTAAGAGCCAAGTAGTATTAGATCATGACCTCAGGTATGGATCTAAAAACTGAGGAGTATTTTGTCTGCACTCGGGTGGGATGTTTCTTATTTCTCGCAAGATATTTTGTTGTACGTCTGTCCCAAGAGGCTCTGCTTGTCAAGTACAGCTGGTTTGTTAATGTGTGAATCATGCAATTGATTTGGTTTATTTCCCCACCCCCACCTTTTATTTTTTTTAAAAAATGTTGATTAGGCCTAATGGTTCCTGATGCTGAGTTAACGACCCTACATAGGTGGTAAAATAATTCTCCATCTACTTTAAGAACATGAAAATATTCTCACTTTGTCTATGGGAAAATAGTGAGCCCTTTCTAGCTACAGTTGTGAATGGTGAGATCAGAAAAGAGACTGTTCAGTTCTTAATTTTGGCTATTCCTTTTAAAAGCTGTTTTAGCCTACGTGTGATGCTGATGAAGTCTGGCGTAGCCAGAAGGAATTGTCTCAAACCATGTGTAGAGAATAGAGCAATAAAATGGTTTTCCATGTGTGCATTATGGGAAAGCATTTTAGTTCATGTGGGCATCTTGGAAATTTTGGAGTGGTTAGGGAATCGGAGGAACTAAAACTTGTGTGACAAAAGTAGCTGTCAGTGTGTATGCCGTGATGACAGTGATTGGGGAGATAGATTACATATGATTATCTAAGTTGCTTGTGAATTAATTGTGTTATTTTAAGTCATGTTATAAATTTCTGCCTGTAATTTATTTTTTCCTTAATTCTGAATTTTTGTTCAGAATTGTACCACTCTTATCCCATTGACTATTGAGGCCTATTTTTCAGTTCTTTCAATTTATATATTTTTATATCACTAAAAAATGTAAGATCTATGTGGACTGCAAGGGTTTGCACCACAGTTTCTGATGCTCTAGAAAAGTGAGAGATTCTGACTTTTTCTCATCTTCTGTTTATTGTGCAACAAATTATTTCCACAAGCTCTGTAGGATTAATGTAACACCCTTTATCAAAACTCAAAGCTGAGTTTATAAGATAGAATGTAACTTTGATTGTAGGATTAAGTGGCTCTTTGCACTTACTTTTTATAACTAAGTTTTAGTTAAAATTACTTTTCTTTTTAGTAAGGTTTTAATGACACTTGCAACACAATAGGGTCATACAAGCGCCGAAAATTAGAGGTGTTTGAAGAGACTGACAAACACAAAAAAAAGGAGGAGAGATAAGGACGATAAAGTTTGATGGGAAAGAAAGAGTACCACACCAGAACACCCACCAACCACCTGCGTCAAACAAATGCTATCCTGGTACAAAATGGCATCCTGTCTGGCTGTGCTGTAACCAGAAAGAAAAATGTGATTCTGTTTCTGCTGAATATATTGGAAAAGGTAGGCCTACTTTCCTTAAGTAGTATTTGTAGCTAGGTTAGAATGTTTAGAGTATAATATAGGCTTTGCAGTCCTGATGTCAGAAATGTAAATAGAGCAGGTGATTTGAATGCCTTTTATTGCAGTTATAATAATTGTATTGTAAATTATACTGTGAGCTGTTTTGAACAGTAAAATGCATTCCGTCTTTTCAGAATCTCTCACTGTAAGGTTCTTCCACTCTCCATGCATTTGGTTGCCTTCTTCCAGCTTGTCGCACACTGGCTCTGAAGAGGTTCTGTCAATTTATTTTCTGTGAGCCTTTCCCCTTGCCCTGATCAGTGGCGAAGTTGTTTTTTTTTTTTACCTTGAGTTGCCAAGGTGTCTTAAATGAGTACAATGTACATTTTACATGTCCAAACTTTTTCGTCCATGTCCAAGAAAACCAGATGCCACGTCTCACTTCCTGTAAGACCTTGGATATGGGAGAATTTCATAATTTGTGTCATGACAAGGTGGAATCAGGCACTCGTAAATTTTTGAGCATGTGGAATTATTGGTATCATGCTTTCAATGAAATAGATATCCATATGTCTTGAATAGAGCTTAAGATATTTGTGATCAAGATCACCTGGTTTCAGTGGTGAAATTAGCGAGAAAATGGCCACCAAAGTCTGGTAACTCCAATAGCTAAAGAGTCCTTGAAAAGAGATAAATGACATATTTTCTGCCTTTAATCAATGTTTTTCAGTAAAATTTACATGGAAATATGATTTTAGATTGACATAAAAGAGGTTGAGCCTAAAATAAAAATTCCATTAAAATTTCCAAACTGGCAGAAAAATGCCTGTTTCTCCAATTTCTGTATTTTGATGAGCGCCTGATTTCACCATACTGCTTCACATAGGCTGATTATTTATTCCTCATTTTTCTTAGTGCTTTTTCTAAAGTACACTGTACTTGTTAGAACTGGAATGTGGGTTTTTGATAGTTGACCTCTATTCAAAGTTGTTTTGCCGTGCGGGCACAAGATTTATAGCAGTGTACTTTTACAGTGTGTCTTTTACCAGGTGCAAAAAATCATCAGTCTGTTTTTGAACAGCATTGTGTTGGTTTGCTTGTATTTAAGTGAAGCTGTAGTCTGAAATAAATAACATGTAATTTAAAAGCAAAATGTAGTGCACGTAAGGGCCTAATGATCTTTTTTCGTTTTGAACTTTTCTTTACTCGCTTGTGAAAAAGGCCAATGATATTTTTTTTTTTGGATTGCTTTCTTGTTAGTTGAATGTACAGTATTTTTGTTTATTTTTAAGTGTCTTACGGCGCTAGCAACTGCGTAAGGTCATATGAGCGCGCTACAGTAGTTTGATTTCCATAAAAATTTGCAAGTGTGAGTGGCTGTTCTTGCCAGATATTTTTCTAATTAATGCCACTTTATTGTGTTCAGTTTACTGAAAGCGAGCAGTTTTTTGCTTACTGTCGATTGCTCATTCTATGGTGTTGAGATTCTCTCTCCTGATGATTCTTGAAAGCTCATTAGGTGGCATTAAAGAGAAATTTTGTTGATGGGAAGGAGTGCTCTAATCAATGTTTGTGGGACTTCTCAAGCTCTCAAATCACTATTTCCTTAAAAAAAACACAACTCAAAAACAACTGAATGCTAAGTAAAAATGCCCATTGCCTGTTGTTTGAAATATCATAGCATGAGTAATGTGAGAGTGAATGACTTTTTGCATAGACCAACTTGTCGCATTTTTTTCTCCTGGATCAGTGCTCAAAGTTTCTTCTTGTCGACCTTCAAGCTTATTAGGGCCTATAACTTTGGTTAAAGTGCTTTGGCTGTATGATTCTGGGACCTTATCTAAGAATGCAGAGTCAACAAGTGTGTACACCAGTTATAGAAATAAGATCACTTCTCCTGTTCCAGCATGGGTATGGGGACAGCAGTTACAACTCTTTTTGGAAAGTCTTTTTTAGACCAGGGATTCCTCTACAAATCTATTATAATCTATTATAATACATAAACTGAGTCTTTTGGTGCTTTTATCTTTGGTCTCTGTACTTTGGTGTAGCTTGTAGTTGTGGTGGTAGTTGAATATATTCTTTATTCTGATTTTCTTTGTCCAAGGGTTTTGGGCTCCAGAGCCTAATTCTTTACAGGTTTTCTTCCAAATTATATCTGTCATATAGTCTCATGTGATCCGTCTTTACTTTGTTTAGAAAAGTTATCCTTTCATTTATCTAATATAAACGTTTGTAGACTTTATTGAGCCTCTTATTCTGCTTCTTCTTACTGATGGGAAATGTCTGCCTTTCTTTACTTGTGATAAAATGTCTGGGTCTATTGGGAATTAACAAGAACAATGTTGTTTTTTTCCATGTTCATTTTTTTTCTTTTAATTTTGTACTCACATGCAATGTACATTCATGATGTATGCATACATGCATGCAAAAAAAAAAAAGCCAAAAATTGTGGAGAAAATATTCTAGTGTCAATTTTATAAAACTGCAGTCAGTTGTGTTCAGATTTGCAGGAATGGAACATTTCCTGTGTCTGTTATCATTTCTGACTGTTAAACCCTATCCATATGTCGTGTTTTACTATCGTATCCATATGACGTGGGGAACTCAGTGTCACCATTTTCCAAAGAGGAAATTTACTTGTTGATCCGTACGCTTTGCATAGCAGTCTGTCAAAATGATTTTTTGAGCAGTACTGAAAGTTTTAAAGAGATCTTCGTACTCTAGGAAGTATTCTAAAATGTGAAGAATACAACCCGGGGGGTACAAAATGACCATAGGGCGTACGGGTAGGGTTAAAATAAGATTGTCGCTAATATAAAGAACTTTGCGTGTGTGATGACCTCATGCTTAGTTTCATAATAAACACTTTGAAAAGCTCACTTTCTTGTTTGTAGATTTTTCTTGGCTTTGTGGTCACATATGATGTAAGCTTCAAGTTTTTAACATACTGTCATCAACATAGACACAGATACCAAGCACAGGTGGACATATTTTCTAGTGCTCACTGCAAATGGCATTGTCTGACATGCTCTGAGCTAATTAGACACACGTACTTTGGAAAAAAGTTGTCTGTTCTACTATTTGTCCAGCCAGAGGATACAACAAGCACAAAAGAAATCACAACAAGAACTGCAGTAGCTAAAAACACAGTCTGTCAATGAAGAAGTCTAAGATATCAACCAGTCTTTATTTTGTATATTTATTCCTTTTTTTCTTTTTGGGAAGTAACATGAAGCTGAAATATGACAACAATACTGAAATCAAGTCTACAATAGGCAAATGCAGTGGGAACACTAATGATCTGTTTATAACCCAAGAACTACAACAATGCGTAGACAGTGACTCAAAACACCACCCCTTCCCCCCACAGATAGGGATAAGTAGCTGTAGAGAGGTAGTCAGATACCTCTTTTCTTGTCCGTTGTGTACTCATTAGCATACACCTTGCTGTTCTTTTTTTTAAATCGAAAGCAGTAGCACCAAAATATCAGCACAAGAAAATAGTTTGGGAGACTATTCTGTGTACTCACACTCTCAATATCACAGGGTATATCAGAAGCAAGAAGCAGATGGCCTTGTCTGTAACTGTGCCTGTGATCATACTGTGATGATACTGCAGAACAGATGACAAGGTAATAGAGGTCAAATATGCTAAGTAACATGACCGCACGCTGCCATATTGTTAGAGGAATCTTTGTATGTTATTATGAGCACACATGGAAAAAAGTCCCCAGTTTAAATCGGATTAAGTTGTACAAGTACGACCATAAATACTACATTACAATTATGAATACTACATAAATACAGTTTCAAAAACAAACAAGGAGGCAAAAATTACATTCACTTGATCATTTTCAGTCATGTATTGTCCATTGCCTCACCTTTGTCCCCGGTTGATTTTTTTTCTTAGGAATGACAAGATTATATTATATTTAAACATTATCAACATTGGTAGCGGCAATGTGGCCACAACTTGGCAGTGAATCCAAAGGCATGCCAACTACTTTTTAACTTTCTTGTATGCTACATCTCAAAAGTCTAGGTGTAGTAATTTCTGTTCCCATATATTTGGTATACAGGGTAGCCTACATTATGAAGTATCTCTAGAAATCAACACTTCAGCACTGAGTTATAACTCTGAGATGGACTGAAATTATTGAAGGTCACTTTTTTAACGTTCATTTAAAGTCAGTAAAGAACAAAATTTGATCTGTATCTACAACAATGCTGTGGTAAGGAGAGAGAAAGCCAACAGGTACCCTAAAATCACACCTGCAAAGACCCGTATGTTATTTTGATATTCAATAATTCTTTTATTTTGAGACTTCATAAAGATTTTATAAAGCAAACAAACTTAAAGCGTCGTCAGAGACAAATGGATATCACAATTATTCATATTGTCAAAATCTGTTGTTACAGTGAAATATGTCCTCGTTTTTTCAACATGATCTGCTGTAATTTTTTAAAAAGTACATGTAATGCACTTCCTTTGAAACAGATATGCTTATTTAGAGTCAAACTAAAGCCTATATGGTTGAAGCTAACTCAAGTTGTAAACAATAGCAAAACCATTTCAGAGAACTTACACCTGTTTAAAAGAGAAAGATATTGTTCTGAGCATTCCCATCTTTCTTTTGAGATGAATAAGAATAAAACACCACCTGGGTTAGCCCTGAGATCAAAGTTACAGCAGCTTGAAGTTACAGTAATTTTTATGACTATGAGTATGAGCGTGCGTTTCTAAAGAAGAGTCTTCTCATATGATTTAAAGCATCTTTTTTGAAGTTGCATTCTGTTACTAGCAGGATTTTTAAAAGGACCAGAACTGAGATGAGCATTACTCCCAGTGAGAAAATATCAGGGAGGAGGAAAAGCTTTGACCTATTTTTCTCTATCTTTCTATTGTACTTGGACTTCTGCAGAATCTTATACGTGTCATGAAGAGGTGGAATCAGGTGCCAGTCAGTTTTTCGGCTGGAAAGTAATTGGTATCATCTTAAAGTTTGTTCATTTGTCTTACTTTTGATGAAAAAAAATGCCCATCTTTGTTGAATAGAAGTCGAGATATTTGCGATTGAAGGAGGTGGGGGTTACCTGGTTTCAGAGGTAAAATTAGCAAGAAAATGGTCACCAAAGTTTGGTGACGTTCATAGCTTAAGAGTCCCTGGGAACTGAAAATTTACATTTTTGGTGTCTTTAATCAACATTTTTAAGTTAAAAAATGTGTTTATAAGTGATTATTAAAGGTGCTGAGCCAAAAAACAAAAATTCTAGCCTACAAAAATTGCCAAACTTGTGAAAAAATGGCGGGTCCTTCAATTTCAATTTTATTAATTTTATGGAGCATCTTATTCCACTGCGATGCCTCACACATAGGCCTACTTGTATCACAGGTCCTACTACCAATAGTCTTCTGTAATGAATTACTAACATCTGAGCTTGTAAATGTTCTTTTTCTTTGAAAGTTCTTCTGTAAGGTCAGTTCCTCTCAGTGCTACACCTAAGTTTGGTTTAGAATAGGAAGTGTTTAATGCTCCCATCGACACAATTGAGATATTTTAGGAGGTGGTCTGCCTTGTCGCTGCCAGTTAGGGCTAAGCCAGGTTGAGTGGAATTCAACATCCTGGCAGATACCTGGAGATACTCGATAAAGATAAACAGGAATCTAACTCGTCTTTAGCATATAATAGCAAGAAACCTGACTGTTACTTTTAAGATGCCAGACCCCATGTTTGGGGGTTACTGAATCTATAAGGGTTCTATCTAGGTCATATACTTATTGACGGTCCCTGCTGGAGAATCCAGGATGGAAATTACTACCAAGACCAGTTTTAGAAGCAATCTATTTTAGAGACATCTTAGAGACCAAAACATGACCAATGACAAAATAGGCACAGGGATTGCAGACTCACATTTTCATTTAGACAACACTGACTTGACAAGAAACCATTAAAATTCCAATAACTCAACCGTTTTCAAATATAAACACAAGAAAACTTTGGAGTAACAGTGGTACTGGCTCAGGTTTCACTCTGACAGCACCCAATCACAGTACAGTAAATAATTACCAAATAACATCTTAAACCTTCCTTGAACCTACCAACTTTGAATGTAATGCAACAGGGATTTCTCAAGCACTCACACTTCATTTTCAAAAAATCATTTGAAAAAAATTTACATACCAATTCAGATTGCTTTGAAATTCGGGTACAGCAGTTCCATGCAAGATTTACTTTAACCCTTTCACTACCGCGAGCTGTGTGTTTCACTGCTCATGTTACTCCCAACACTGGACCATGAGACATGTTTCACGACTCTCCACTCACTGCTACAAAACCAGTTCTACTTTTGTAATAGCTCAGATTGAAGAAAGATCATTTTTAGCAATATGTTGAGATAGATACTTATTTCCCCTTTATTTTCATACATAATACATGTGGCTAGCATAGAAAATTGAGCTTTAAATCTTTAATTTGTCAGAGGATAGGGAGAATCAGAAGGAAGGTCACAAACAGCGCCACGTCCAGATGAGTTAAGCTATTTAAGATTTGATCTAAATATCCCAGTCGCCACTGGAAGGGGAGCACTAGGATATAGACATCAAAGTACTGTAAAAGTCTTAGCAACACAGTATTCCGATCATCATTCTCTAAAGAATCCAAGTTTTAAAAATCCCTTTGACACTACATTTCAATCTAGATCCCAATCTTACAAAATACAATAATTACTGTTTCTTTGGCATATGTATTGTCTCATTTCAAGGATAAACATAAGATTGCATTTTTTATGTCTTAAGCAAACGCAGGGATGATCAGATAGCCTTGAAACACACCTTCACATTCTCTCACTGGCTTGCTTTAATTTTAAAATATTCCCACAAAAATCACTTATGACAAATGGATACAAAGTACACATCTCAAAAACAAGAAAACAACGTATAAATTATTAACATTATGTTGATATCACATCAAATAGTTTATAAAAGGAATGATATAATATTATAGATCACATTTCCACTTAAGATAAATGATAGAATAATATTTATAGTATTCGAGAGTAAGTAAAATGCATGGATACCTTTTTCCATCTAGTTTTTCTTTAGTTTTCATACATAATAATGATAATAATAATAATAATAATAATAATAATAATAATTGCATTTATATAGCGCATATCCATGCTCAAGAGCATGCTCTATGCGCTTTACAACTATTATTACCCCAGCAGACCCTCTGAGAACACTCAGAAACATACTCGGCTTCCGCGGAAGCATACAGTGCAAGCTGCGGATTTCACGCGCTCAAACACTATCAAACTGACAAGATCGTTCACGGTCTATAGCCGGGTACCCATTTCCACCCGGGTGAAGTGAGGAAAATTTGAGCAAAGTGCCTTTCCCAAGGACACAACGTCGGGGCCCCTGACGGGATTCGAACCCACGACCTAACGGTTGCGAGTCCGAGAGCTCAACCACTAAGCCACCGACGCCACACAATAATAATAGATAGCATTTGTATAGCGCATATCCCCGCTCAACAGCAGGCTCTATGCGCTTTACACTATATTATTACCCCAGCAGACCATAGAACACTCCGAAACATTCTCAGCTTCCTGGGAAGCACACATCCTTCTGTGCATTTCAGAGTACACTAAAGGCAAAATTTTCAGTTAATACCAATCTCCGATTCGAAAGGTTGGAAAGGCAAAACGCTTTTGATCCAAAAGGGCCCTCTACTCCCATATTATGTCCAAAATCTTACAAAGGGAGTAAGCAGTCAAAATCAGATGTTCCCAACAGTTTTCAAGGGTTGTCTTCCTTATACTGAAAAATGGTTGCACAAGGGGGCTATCCGGAAAAAATAAATGCTGTCTTGAGAAAATCGAAGGTAAAGTTTTTGGATCCTTATTCAGTTTCTTTAAAAGACAAAGAGAGTTTTCTCTATAACCAAACACATATATATATATATATATATACATTAATGGAACCAAACTTCTCCTATAGGTAGGGCAATGCCCACTTTTGGTGTAGGTCAAGATTCTGGAAACCCCCGAAATCTGGGTTAGACCGCTTGTCCTTGAAAGCAACCAAATAATTCCATACCGTTTTACGAAAGGGCTATCTTGACTGATAACGTCAATCTACAACAACATGGTGTTTCTGGTCCCCACCATTTAAGATACCCGACAAAGCTTTTAAGCTTTTAACTATGTGACTCATCTTTGAGTCTTCAACCCCAAATTTAGTTACCAACTAATAATAATAGATAGCATTTGTATAGTGCAAATCCCCGCTCAACAGCAAGCTCTATGCACTTCAAAATCTATACTATTACCCCAGCAGGCCTGAGAGCATTCTGAAACAACCTCAACTTCCAGGGAAGTATACAGTGCAAGCAGCCATTTATAGGCGCTAAAACACTAACATACTGACAAGACCTTTCGCTGTCTATGACTGGGTACCCATTCCCAACTGGGTGAAGTGAGGAAAATTCCTGTAAAGTGTCTTTCCCAAGGACACTACGTCGGGCCCATGGCTCGAACCCCCAAACCGGCAACTAGAAAAGTTTTCCAGTACATGTTTTGTTGTAGTTTTCCATAGTCCCTCCACCCTCCCCCCTAAACAACCCCCCCCACACACACACACACACAAAACTTGTGTTCACTTTCTCCAAATTGTAGAACTACTCACCTGCTTAAAAACCTTTCTACAGAGAAATAATGGTTCACCCAGCCCTTTATTTTAATAAAGACCTAGTTAAATTTACAGAATTCTCAGCCAAAGTCTTTGCACTAGAAAAGTGTGTCCACTAGAGATCCCCCTTTGAGGGCCCGGCTTGTGGCGTGTGTGGTGGACGTGCTGAGAGTGGCGTTGTCCGGCTCAGAGAGACAGTAGCTGGGCTCCCGGCCGTGCGAGCAGCTGGCGCCACTGACCAGGTTGATCATGGCCATAACAAAGCCAACTACAGCCACCAGCACGCCAAAGGCCAGGAGCAAGATGGGTGCGATATTACGGCGGGAGAAAAGGGCTTCCTGTCGTAGCCGAATCACACAGGCTGCAGGGAAGATATAAGCTAACGGGGCTGCAGCCAAGACGCCCTGTAGAAAGACAAGGAGAGCTTTCTTAAAAAATGCAGAAACGCTTTGACATGATAAATGGTTATTACAAGCTGGTGCATAGTTATAGGAAAAAAACGTACAAAAATAACAGAGGGAAATAAGAAAAGACCCTACAGCAATGGTGCCTTCTCATAAATAAATTTAGATTAAGAGAGAGAGAGAGAGAGAGAGAGAGAGAGAGAGAGAGAGAGAGAGAGAGAGAGAGAGAAAGATAGATAAGATCGTCAGATAGATAGATAAATAGAAGATAGATAGATAGA